GGGCCTTTCCCGGCATGAAGTGAGGTGTATTCCTTGATTCATGGGTATCGCCTGTGCCTGTTGGGCCAAGGCCTGAGGCCCAAAGCTTCGAAAGCGGATGGTAGTTCTGATCTCTCACCCTGAAGAACATCTCACCCTGAACCCTAAAATCCCAAAGACCCTCAACACCCGAAGCTGAATCCCTGGCAAGCCGGTGGTTTATCGAATCTATGTCGATTTGAGCTTTTGGTCGACTGCAGGTATCCATTTCTACATGAGCTTACCGTCAAAAGGACCCTGAAATGCCGGAAGCACAGAACGAACTTGTCTAGGTGTTGAGGCAACTCGTCTATGTAAAACACTGCCATGTGAATCCAGGTCTGGGGCAATGCGCAGATGGAGCCAAATCCCCAGTTCAATCATCTTCCCCCACAGCAGCCACATGCTCCCGCAGCACCGACACACCCGATGCCGATGCCATGCGACCCCCAAGCTCCTGCCCCAGAAGAGGCGCGAAGACCCATGATGCCAGTTCCGGGCGAGCCCAGCCCAGGCTTCCACCCTCCATTTCCAGAGGAACCGCGAGCACCCATCATGCCGGTGCCTGTGATGGACCATCCTCCCTGGCTCCCATGTGAAACTACGGCAGCGTATTGCCACCCTCCGTACTGCCACTTCTCTGCGAGCGTGCCCCAAACCTTTACACGTCCCGTGCCGCCGCCCCCATGCGAGCGTGCCCCAAACTTTTGCCACTCTCCCGTACCGCCACCCCCATGCGAGCCTGCCCCAGGGAACTACGACTACTACGACCCTCCCGTACTACCACCGCCATGCGAGCCTACCCCAGGGTACTACCACGAGCCGTGGGGCCACGTTCTGCCAGCTTCTGGGACGATGTGTTGGATAGGTTTATTTACAGGTTTTGGCAGATTTCGTTACTGAAAAGTCTAAGGGATCATGTAGTACACTAGTTTCATGATGGGTCTTATAAAAGGGCTGTATCGTCCCTAGGATTAGATAAATCGGGAATATTCAAGGTCCCATGCGTAGGGGTTAGTTAGTTTTGAGGGTCTAGGGCGTTCGATTGCGTAACGGTCCTATTAATGGGTTGTTTCTGACGATGAGGGCCTCATGGGGTTGCTCTCAGGATTTCAGGAGTCTCCCGGCGAGCACAAAGCAGCACTGCTTTATGATATCACACTCATATCGTTCAGGGCCTTTCCCGGCATGAAGTGAGGTGTATTCCTTGATTCATGGGTATCGCCTGTGCCTGTTGGGCCAAGGCCTGAGGCCCAAAGCTTCGAAAGCGGATGGTAGTTCTGATCTCTCACCCTGAAGAACATCTCACCCTGAACCCTAAAATTCCAAAGACCCTCAACACCCGAAGCTGAATCCCTGGCAAGCCGGTGGTTTATCGAATCTATGTCGATTTGAGCTTTTGGTCGACTGCAGGTATCCATTTCTACATGAGCTTACCGTCAAAAGGACCCTGAAATACAGGAAGCACAGAACGAACTTGTCTAGGTGTTGAGGCAACTCGTCTATGTAAAACACTGCCATGTGAATCCAGGTCTGGGGCAATGCGCAGATGGAGCCAAATCCCCAGTTCAATCATCTTCCCCCACAGCAGCCACATGCTCCCGCAGCACCGACACACCCGATGCCGATGCCATGCGACCCCCAAGCTCCTGCCCCAGAAGAGGCGCGAAGACCCATGATGCCAGTTCCGGGCGAGCCCAGCCCAGGCTTCCACCCTCCATGTCCAGAGGAACCGCGAGCACCCATCATGCCGGTGCCTGTGATGGACCATCCTCCCTGGCTCCCATGTGAAACTACGGCAGCGTATTGCCACCCTCCGTACTGCCACTTCTCTGCGAGCGTGCCCCAAACCTTTACACGTCCCGTGCCGCCGCCCCCATGCGAGCGTGCCCCAAACTTTTGCCACTCTCCCGTACCGCCACCCCCATGCGAGCCTGCCCCAGGGAACTACGACTACTACGACCCTCCCGTACTACCACCGCCATGCGAGCCTACCCCAGGGTACTACCACGAGCCGTGGGGCCACGTTCTGCCAGCTTCTGGGACGATGTGTTGGATAGGTTTATTTACAGGTTTTGGCAGATTTCGTTAATGAAAAGAGACTTGGGCGCTTTTTTGCGGTTGGTTTATAGATCCCTAATTTAGACTTGACTCCCCAATCCTAAGCTAAGCCTCCGAGCCCCAAACCCCCCATGCAAACATAAATCCTCAGTCTTGAGCGAATTTTCGCGGATTTCTCTGGATGGGGAATGAATCAAGGAAAAATCTTCACACCGGAAGCTTAGCGAGACAACCTGCAAGGCCACTCAAAAACAATCAGCGAAAAGCTCGAGGCCCAAAAAGGCGACCCCAACCAACAGGGTTTGGGGGGTTTCCCTAATATAGTTACAGTACAAGACCCCCCCAGTTAGTAAGGCCGACCCCAACCAACACTGCTTAAAGAAGTTTGACTTTCCAACGTTGTCGATTGAAGTTTGACGCGGTGCTGTGCGATGTTCTCAGGCTTTACAGAGCTTTCCACGGGCTGGACACTTTTAAGGACCAAAATGTAGCATGCCATACTAGGGACGAGTTGCGACTGCATACGGTTCAAAAGGTTTCTCTACGGGCTTTACAGAAAGTTAAGACCTTCATTTCGAATAATTTAGCTGGTATACACAGTGTGAGGTCTCCCCACGACACTTAACGAAACTAACCCGAAGATGGCCAAGCTATACCACGAGTTTGGAGCTCGGGTTCAAGGTTTCACGGGCCTGAAGGATTTTGGAAATCAGGGTCGTAGAGCTTCGGTTTTCCGGGTGTACAGCTCTAAGTCTCTTGGATTCGTTAGTGCTTCAAGGGCGTGGGCCGGTTGCCGGGCTTCAAAGGCCCTATAAAACTTTAAAGCCTGGAACCCAAAACCTGTCACCTTAGTCAAGGAAAAAAAGGCTCTCAGGATTGCCGCAGATTTGGATTTGCAGACACTTTTACATGCCGCCAGCTGGCAGAATCAGTTGTGATGTTGCGAATTTCCTGCGTACTAGTCGCATTTGTTCGCGTGGGGCAGCCCTCCTGCCGAAGATGCTAGGTGAAGGGTTCAGGCCAGGCCTAAACCCACAAGCACCAAACTGGAAAAGACCATAATATGTCGTATTATAAGCAATACAAAACAGATAATATACAATATATACTAAATCGCACCAGAACAGTGCAAACTATAGCAATATAGCATAAAAAACATATAATGTTATCAAAAAATACTATATCATAATTTCAACTGATAAATAACATATCGCATATTATATATATTGTCAAAAAAGAGATGCAGTATTAAGTAACATATAACAGTTCTTACATAATATGTAATATTCAGAATATAATATTTGCTATATGGCCGTTCGGAGTCGAAGGTTTGGGCTTGCGCATCGCTGTGGGCTCCGATGATTGGCTGACGGAGCGTCCTTGGAGGATCAGGGACGTAGTAAGTAGGGTTGTAAGTAAGGTCGCCATAGCTTTATCTACATATAGCCCTAATGAATATGCTTATAACCCTATTACTAAGTCCCATGATCCCCATCTGCGTGCCGCATTTCTGCTCCGCATGGGAGGAACCCTACGCCAACCTCCCCTTAACCCTAGACCCCAAGCCCAAGCCCAAGCCCAACAAACTCAGAACTGTCGGTTTGCGTGGATGGAATGCCGTGGTGGAGCCACTTCGAGAATAGCTAAGAGCCTAGCTGCCCCAGCCCGGTGGGCTGAGACCTGGACCAACTCACGTAGACACCGAATGCCCACATGGCAAACGCAACTAATCCGCTGCAGCATGGACCCTAAACCCTAGACCTTGCTATGCACCCAAACCTTTAAAGCCAGAACCCCGAGGGCTCATCCTATGCCGTTAGCCTTGGGCCGTGTGCAGAACCTGCATGCAAGGCCGGCTAACTATGGGTCGGTACGGCGAATTTCTGTGCAGTGCTTACTCACAAATGCTCTTTACAGGCTTCACCAAGTCGTCTCACCAGCTTCGTTTTAAGTTGCGATGCGCGCACTGACACGTTCATCTCCTTCGCTAGAAAACAGCAATCTGAAGCAGGCCTGTGAGGATTTACAGGGTTGAGGCTTTCACTCGACAATGCAAGTAAGTTTAAACGCTTCGCGTCGTCCGCTTCGGCCCGGCTGGTGGAAAGCAACGTGTAGGTCACCCAGGTGAGGTCTTGAGTGTATAAGCACATTTGCTTCAAAATGTTTTTACTGTCAGTATTCGTTTTCGTGATGAGGCTTTAAGCAATAATCCGTTGCGAAAGGTGGCACATTCCTTGCATTATCCCATCGACGTTACTATAACAATCTTATCACACGTCTCACTGGTCTCGTATGCAACCTCCCATGCGTTGGAAGGGGAATTGAATCAGGCTTTGCAACGATGTACAAGACACAGCTCAGCCCCAGAATTCCTAGGCTGCATCAGCTTCACGGATGACGTAACCTTTCGCGTGTTAGCCCGTCTTGTTTCGCCACCAAGAAGAGACGGGGGAAGCAGGGGAGGGAGGGGAGGGGCCGGGGAGAAGGGTGTGGCAGGGGTGCTCCAAAATCGTGCGGCACCCTTAGAGAAGGGATTCGGCTGTTCAGAACTGCCGACGTGTAAGTCTTAGGACCCTGATCGGTTCCTCAAAGCCTAAGGTTTCAAAGCGCTTTTCAGAGCTGCAGGTGATCGAAGCTAGGTTCCATATAGTTTCTTTTAGTTTATAGAACCCACATACAACTGCATCTCACGGCCAGCAAAGGCCTGCCGTAAGGAACTGAGCCCCAACGCTGCATAAACCTGACCTTGCGGCTAGCACCTGGCTCAGACATGCGGCCCTCGAACGGGGTTCTTGGGGGGCTTTGGCTGTCAGATGTTGAATCCTGGAGTGAGTTGTTCCCTTCACACCGATCATGTGCATATTTGTTCAGGCCGTGTGCGGCTAGGGGTGTTAAGGGGTTTTCTAGGGGTTGAAAACGCCATGTCACTGCTGACTGCAGTGAACCAACTAGGATTGGAGTTGGACCAGGAGGCCATGATGGGGGTTTAGGGTTCAGGGTTTAGGGTTTAAGGCTTTGGTGTTTGAATTACGGATCTTGCCAACATGCTCTGTCGACGTTTGGGGTTGCATGCTTCCTGAGACTCTCATAATAATCTACTTGTGAAGCCTTATGGGGCCTATGCTAGCTTGGATTGTCCGAGTGTGAGCGAGGAAACCCTGAACCCTCAGTCGAGGTCAAGGGTTTGGGTTTCAGGCATTGGAGCCATCAGCGAGCCTCTCTCTTGTGCAGCCACATGACCTAGAAATGCGAAGCGGGACACGCCCAGCATCGGCTTGAGTCATAACGGACATGAGAGTTATGTGCAGAGGGTCTGCAGGATGCATGTGTCATATTATATGACGTTATATTTTTTACGATATTGTAAGGTCAGGGGCTCACGGCTGCCCGGTTAGATGATCTTTTCCTACATTACATGCAGTTTACCGAGCTCCGAGTCATTGTGTGCTGTGTCGTTTTGAAACCCTAAACCCTAGACCCTAAACCCAACATACAAGCCTCCTCATTATTTTTGGCTGGGCTCGGCTTGGGTTCCGAATTACGCATATACCGCGCCACAACGGACGCACACGTCTGACCAGTTAATCCAGATCCGCAGTTTCAAAAAAGCGGAGACCCTAACACCCGAAATCCATGAACTAAAGTTGTAAGCCTAAAGCCATACACAAGCCACCCAAGCCCTTGTGTCCAAATTAGCAGATTAAGGCTCATGCCATGCGTTGGCAGCCCTCGCCAGGCCAAGCTCTAAAACCTTTCCCCCCGCAACTATGTGAAGCCTAAATCGTAACCCTAAACCCTAAACCCTACCGGGTACAGCTTGCAATGGCCGCAGAAATCTCACGGAAAACCTCGAAGGGTCGTACGTAGCAGGTAGCTTAAAGATAGAACTTGAAGTAGTCGGAGGATGTGTATTGGAGTTTAGGGTTGAGGAGAAGTAGGTTTTAGAGCTTACGTGTTACGGTTCAAGTTGGTTCTACCAGCGCAAGGAATTGCACGAATTTCCTAATCGTTTGCAATTGCTAAACTCTTGCCTGTGATTCGGATACCTTGTTTGGGAGGCTATCTCTGCTCTTCAAAGCTTGCCCTATGACCAGGCCTTGGCCGCTTGGAGAATCCATTCCACGCATCAGTAGAATTCACACTTTCTTTGAGGGAGTTCCAGGTGTTTTATCCTCAAACTTTTTGCAGTTCGCTTTGTTGGAGTGGGTTTGCACAGTTCGACATGATGTCCCGCAGTTGTTGGAAGACGGGAAGACATCAGCATGGCTGGATTTCGGAACTTGCTCAGCCAAGGTAGATTTTGCCCTTTGTGCAGATTTTGCCAGGTCGTCCTGGCAATAATCCCCATGTGCTATCCCCTGAAACCCCAAGACCGAACGCCGCTTGAGTCGGCACGAAAGAGCATAAGTAGAGTAGGGCAGTACCTTTTGTCGAAACTGTAATTCCTTTTTTGGTTTAACAGATGCTATAGTCAGGCTCCTATGGGGTAACTACAATTGGAGACTATGACTACAGGTAACGGTTGCCACCTGGACCCTTAAACCCTATATAAATCCTAAACCTTTCAACCCCAAACCCCCAAACCCTAAACCCCACAGCTTAACCCTAAACCCGCTAAGCTCTGAACCGGGAGTCTGGCCACTAAGGAGCTGCTCAAGGCTACGCAGCAGGAGATCCAGGCCGGCTTTTTGAAGGCCGGGAAGCGGGGGGCTTAGGGGCTGGGGGTTTAGGGTTTGAGGTTTACTTGAGGTTTATAGTTTTTGATTTAGGGTTTAAGGTTAGGGCTTTGGGCTTCGGGGTTTAAGGTTTAGGGTTTGGGGTTTAAGGTTAAGGGTTTGGCGGGGAACCGACGGATCGCGTCGCAGCTAGCTTTGTTAGGTCACACAAAAAGAGGTACTGCAGCTAGCTGGGTTTGTGATTATGGGATCCTAACCATAAAGTAGGCCATCCAAAAAGAAGTCAAATATTTTAGGGTCTAGGTAGACCCCATCATTCTGGCCGCTCTTGCATGGATCCGGGCTGTGGTCTAGGCTTAGGTTTTCTTCTTCGGAAACAACTGCAAGAGCCCACGAGAGGCCATACACGGACCATTTCTTTTAAATCGAAACTTGGGATCTGGAGTTGCAGAATTTTTAGACTTCGGGGCTTCAATGAGCTGTTCAGGGTTTAGGGCCCGTCAATAGAAGGGCAAGAACACGTAGAGTAGGGCTTTTGCATATATAGCACGAGAAAAGCTACTTGTAATAAGGAGCCCTATGGAATTGCAAGAAAGGTGATCCAGGCTTCTAAGTAAAAAGGCAAGCCTCCGGAAGAGTCTTACTAGCTCACAGGGCTTCCATATTCGGGCAGTTCTCCAGATTGAGATCCCTGTTCAAGTTCCCAAAATGGTACGGCACTCTGGCGAAAGGACCCTCTAAAAGGGACCCTGATCTAGAACTAGAAACTACCCATCAGGGAGTCATAGTTTCGATGTTCTAGATCTGCTGCAAGGACCTCTAGGGTTTGCGGTATCGAGTGGTTGATGTGCAAAGGACCATCTTTGCGCCGCAGCGAACCATGCATCTACTCGTTTGCATGCCTGCCTGGCCTGCATACCTTCCTTTGTCTATAGCATCCGAAACATTACAGCGACTAGCATTACTACCCGCCTGCTTTACATCTGTTTCTCTTACTTCTGCCCGCCGGCCCCTAACTTCCCACTACTCTACCCTAAACACCCACGATTAAGGACCTTCAGACCCTGTTAAGGTCTAAGCCTTCATCTCGACCTCTTGAGGCCTTAGACTACTACAGAAGCCCTTGTAATTAGAATAGGGTTTCGAGGTATTTCTACTGTGGTGACAACAAAGGAAAACCAAAATAGTATTGGAAATTGTTTACGCACCGATATTACCTACCTTCCTACACATCCCATAATTACCCGAGAGTATACCCCAAATACCGACTTTTGAGGACCCTCACAGCCCAACCATTCCTCCCGGCCTTTTGAGGCCTCCAACTCAGCCCCTACGGACACGCGGAATTCCCATTTCAAGTTGACTCGCCCCGACATGCCCTGGGAATGGGTAGGTAGTCTCTAACCTCCTGGGGTTTGAACCATTCATCTGCGCCTAAGCAGTCAGTGCCGAAGTGATGGGCCTGGAAACCTTCATTCCGCAATCCTCAGCCCTATGCACACACACCCCGACCTGAACGTCAAGCTTAAAGCCCAACCCCAAACTCATGTAGAAACCCTAAACCCTGAACCGCTAAACCCTCAAACCCTAAACTTTATACCCCTAAACCCTAAACCCTAGACCCAAGGAGGGAGAAAGAGCCATGAAGCTTGAACCTCGGACCCGAAGTCCTTGATGTAGCCCGAAGAACCTCCCGTTGGTCAAACCCTCCGAGAGAACCCAAAAACCCGAAGCCCGAACCGAAGCCCCGTCGGCTCTGTGAGGTTTATTTAGGGGCCTGAATAGGCCCTTTATACTACAATTTAATAAGGAACCCCCAAAATAATATTAGTAATTGTTGAGGCCCCTATATTATCTCCAGCCTCAGAGAAGATCACTCCCTAAACCCTAAACCCTAATAAATAGTGGACCCTAAATTTCAGGATCCCAAGAACTACATCTGCGCGACGGTGGAGCGTGGGCCACCGGCTTGCAAGATGTTGTTTTAGGGTTGGGCTTCGTTTAGGACTGAGGGGTTTTTGGGTTGGTTTACGTTTGGAAGTTTAGGACGTTTGGGGTGCAGGGCTTTGAAGGTCTACTTGGAGGTTCCTGGGTAGTTATCAGTGGGGCTATACGGCACCAACCATAGTAATAGTTACCCTACTTTTCCCCCCCCGCCCGACTTGGTTTCAGTGGGACGCGCTTCTATCGGGCTGAGTAGGATACAGCTATGTCTTGTGAAGGGCAGCCCTGACAAAGGGGTATTTGGGTTGAGGGTTTAGCTGCGATTCTTGCACGGTTGTTTGGAATTCCAATTTCTTGTTTCCCGCTTCTTGTCTTGCTATTGTTTCGAGCATGGTTTTGGCTATGGTTGTGTTTATAACACGGCTCGGAAAGCAGCTTGGCCACAAGTCCGCAAGCAAAAACATATCGAAACCAGTGACACCAACACGGTGTCAACATCGGATCCAAAACGTTTCCAAATCAGGCATTCCCAAAAGCTCCATAAACAAGACAGACAAAAACCAAATACAAAAAATCAGAGCAAAACCCATGACTACTCATAACGCCGTAGCAAAACCAAACGCAAATCGTACCCTCAATGATTCATAAAACCATATCAAAATCGCATCAACATCGCAAAAAAAAACAATCATTCCTGGAATCCGCCGTTTCACAAATGTAAGCACTAGATAGGGAGGTCAGTAAGTGTTTGCGCAGCTTGCAAACCCCAAGACAGGGGCCTTACTGGTCATGATAGGGCTTGGACATCAACTACCAAGAGACAAATGTTACAGTCCGAGTTGTTCCGACCCCTATCTACATGCTTGTAAGTTGGGACAGCATAGTTCGCACCTTCCTTTTCAGCCGATGACTCGAAATACGAGAACTCCAGAGCCCTCCACCTCGACATGTAAAAGCTAGCAACCCGAAAAAGCCATGCTCATGCTGCCCTTAACCCCAACCCTTGCCGAAAAAATTGTGGGAGAAGCCAAGCCCTTCAGGGCGCGGGGTTTAAGACTTTGGGGACCGTTTTGGGTTCACGGATGTAGGGTTTCAGGTTTTGATGGAAGGGTGAAGAGATGTCTCCTGCGAAAAGATGCCGACTGACCACGCCTGACCCGGAACTCCGAAGATCTTCGAGCCGCAAGCGAGGCGATCCGAATCAGGGAACCCGACCGCAGAGAGCTAGCCTTGAAACTGTACCCCCATAGCCCTTACCGCAAATCCTTACAAAGCGTTTGTGATTTAGGGCTCAACCTGACAACATAGAAGCCTGAACAAGTAGCGCTGCTATTCCCTAAGACCCTTGTCACAATCATTGCATAATGTACCCCACAACCCTACTCAAATCAAGAAAGGTCATACTACCCAGGTATGTCCCAAGTGCCGGCACGCTTCCCTCCGGCTCCATCGGCGGACAAGGCCTCGCAGTTTCACATTTGGGGCTGTTGCGGGGTGGCCCTAAACCCTGAACCCTAAACCCTAAACCGGTCTTAGGGTTCAGTTATTGCAGTACAGGCATCGGGTTTCAAGTGGGCCGCTAAGGTATATGCGTGTTCGTCAACATTAAGCTCCCTTTTTGGGTCCAAAATATGATACAAGGGACCCTAATTTTACAACTACCCATATAGCTCATATGTATACTCTGAACGGGTTCAGGTAGTAATTAGCTTTGTCAACAGCACAGGTACACATTGGAAGCCTAGGGGCTTAGGCAGGCCTTGGTTCATGTTGTGGGATAGCCTGCCTGGCAAACATTAGCTTAACTTGTTTCATGCAAATTGCCTTTCAGGGGACAGCTTGTGCGCAAGCTTGTGCCACGACTTTCGATGCACGTGGTTCCAGTTTGAACTCAAATAGTGTCGTGCTGTTTTCATGCATAAGAGGCAAGCGATGCCCGTGCTGCGGAGACAATGCAAGGATGGACGTCACACAGACTGTTTTCCATGTTCGATGCACGTGGTTCCAGTTTGAACTCAAACAGTGTCGTGCTGTTTTTTTCATGCATAAGTCGCAAGCGATGCCCGTGGCTGCGGAGACAATGCAAGGATGGACGTCACATAGACTGTTTTCCATGTCGAGAAAGAAGGCTGAGGTATTGAGAAGGACCGAGGTGCCTGAAACAAGCGGAACAAGAGCTCTCAAATAGGGGGCCCTATATCCCGTATTCTGAACGCCTGTACCCCTCAAACGCCAAAGACCCAGACACCGACACCGTAAAACCCTAGCCCTAGGCTAAGACTTTAAGCCTTGCGGCAACTCTCTTCGAGATCCCAGACCTTGAACCCCGCGAATCCTCGTGGCTGGGGTGTCCTGAACATTACTTGGAGGATGAGGGGACTTAGCAAGTAGCATAAAATAACTATAGTTATATCTACTTACAACCTTAATTAAGATACTTACAACCCCATTCAAAATCCCATGATCCCCCAAGTATGGGGGTACTATAGCATCCTCTAGGGATCGTGATTATAGTTGTGCTAGATGGAGAGAGGCCGTTCTGAAGAAGCACGTCAACAAAGAGACAGAAGAGACAGAGAAAAGCAGGCAGGCAGGCAGGCACGCAGGCAGGCAGGCAGAGAGGGAGACAGAGAGGGGAGGGAGAGAGAGATAGAGAGAGAGAGAGAGCACAACGAGAGAGAAGGAGAGAGACCGAGAGCGAGAGATGCATAGCCAAAACGTGAAGCCCGCAAAAAGCCGACACTGCCAGAGGCACCGGCCACGAGGCCGCGGCTCAGGCACTGCTGCGCACGACAGGCACCTGGCTGGGGGAGGAGGAGGAGGAGGAGGCGAGGAGGAGGTGAGGAGTGTTGGGGGCTCTTATTCACGTCGGGTTCAGGGCGTTGAGGGTTTGTGGTGTCTAGGGGGTTCAGCAGGACTCCTAGATCTGCAACGTTGAAGGGCCGATTTGAGACACATCTCATATCATATTGATTCCCCACACATGGTCATCTCTGGCTTAAGGCGACAGTGCTCCGAGAATCCACATTCAGTTTCCGTCATTCCACCTCTGTTAAGTCACCATCCTGCCTCGTCGAGTCCCCACCGCAGCTGGAGGAGAGTATCAGAACCCAAAGGCCCACAGGTTCCTTATAATATATAGTATGACCTGCCCCCCAACCCTAGTCTAATTGTCAATGACACACATACAGTAGGTACGTAGGTCGAGAGATGGGTGGATGAATGGATGCACGGATGAATGGATGCATGGATGCATGGATGGATGGTTGCCATGTGTGCATCTGTACTCAGGCAGGCAGAAGTGTATGTGAGAGGGACGGAGCGAGAGATGCATATACACATATACATATGTATATATACACATAATACACTTTTCACGCGTATATATACACACACCCATACGCATTCTGTTACATTCACCAGGAGCCATAGCACCGAAGCTGAACTTCACCACAAGCCTAGACGATCCAGTGACTCCTCAATAATCCCGAATACAAACTCGAGACCTCCATGAACCCCAAAAAGACCTCGACACCCTGAAAACACCAGAACAACCCGACAAGAATCCCTCAACAAATCCGTCCCTAAATGTGAAACCCTACAGTAAACCCTGAATGGTAACCCCGAAACCACCCTTTCAGCTCTGGACCCTACACCCTAAACTCTGTAAACTCCTAAACCTGCAAGACCCCAAAGCCCCGAACCCCAAATCCTAATAACCCTACGTCCACCGTTGCAGGCAAAGCCTAATACTCCTGCTGAGCCCTTTCAGGAAACTCTTTGCAAACCCTAAAGCCCTCAACTCATTCAGCCGACTCATCAACACACGCCTCGTCGCCCAAAGTGTCCAAGTTGTGAGCGCCGAAACCCTAAACCTTGAACCCCTCTAACGCAAAGCCAGGGAGCCCTTAAGGGAAACCCTTAACAGAAGCCTTAAAGGAATTTCGGGAACGCTTAAGAGAACTGTTTAAAAGGGACCATGAAGTGGGAAGCCCTGAAGACCCTAACGAAACCCAGCCTTTGGAGGTATGCGGAAGGTGAAGGCAGCAGGCCTGCCATTATCGGGCGAGGCGCTGAAGGCGCTTCAACGGGGGGGGTTCCGATTTTTGAAGCCCTTTAAAGGGTTCCGTTGAGGATGTCTTTCAGGGTTTCCGGTTTAGGTTTCCCAGAAAGCGTTCCTTCAGACCTTAAGGGGTTCCTGTAGGGGTCCCTGAAGTTTGATGTTGGGTTTTGGATTTAACGTTTTGGGTCTATGAGTTTGGATTAAGGTTTCTGGCTTTGGGGATTTGGGCCTAGAGATTCTCTGAACTGAAGAGATCCTCCAACGGCTGCCGCAAGGGTTCCCAAAAGCAACGGGTTTCCTAAAAAGGGCTCTGTAGGAGTACTCCGTGGAATCTACAAGGTCTTCGAAAGGTACGGTAAGGTGCTGTGAGGGTACTGTCAGCGTTTTAGTCAGGATGAAAATTTGCAGGCTCCGACGGTACGATTTGTTTTGGGGGGGTTGAGGACTATCTATTGTTTAGGGTTTTCGGGTTTCGGTCATTGGGATTGTAGGCTGCAAAGTTTCGAGGCGAGGCGGACATCGCCTACCCTGCGTAGCCTCTATAGTTCCGAGCACCTTATGAAAAATTTAAAGCAAAGATGCCGCCGCATCAGTAAGACGGCAGGCCTTGCTGACGGTGCCGGCATCGCATGCATCCGAAATTTTGGAGGCCACTGCTTGCGCACAGTCGTTTGATGCTGCCTCTCTGCTGCAGGAGCCGCGTCGTACTGCTTCCTGCAATCCTGGCTGAGTTTCATGTTTCATACATACTTGAACCCCCTTTTAATACTGCCTCGTGCACCCCAGACTGGAGTCATGGAGTGGCAGACACAGAACTTCATCACCATCAGCTTGAGTGCCCCTGACAGAATGCTTTCTTCAGTTCATCGTCACAAGATGTGTCCGCATGTGCAAGCCAGCAGGACGTGTTGTTGTTGATGACGATGATGATGATGCTGTTGATGTTGATGATGCTGATGATGCTGCTGATGATGATGGTGATGATGCTGAGGATGATGCCGATGATGATGATGATGATCACGGTGATGATGATGGTGGTGATGATGATGTTGGTGCTCGTATGTTTACGATGATGCTGGTGATGACAATCGTCATGATGATTCTGATGATGGCGATGAGCATGGCGGTGATGATGATGATGATGATGATGATGATGGTGATGATGATGATGATGATACGGATGATTAGCAAGAACGCATTTATTGCTGACGATGGTGGTGTTGCTGTTGTCGTTGTTGTTGTTCAGGTCAAGCAGGAGGAGGGTGTAACTTGACGCGATGGGGTTGGATATGGCGGATGTGATGCAATGCGATGGTACTGATGAAGCTCGTCATGACGAAGATATGCAATGCAGTTGTTTGGCCAGTATGAACGGCAATACCGTTTCATATTCACACAGTGCTCTGAGCAGTGCACTTTGCAGCGTGTTAGGGTCCTGTGGCTGTAGGATCCGGTGTGTGGCATTCATGAGTATTGGTTTATGGCCTGAGCTGTAGAAATCCGGTTTCTGTTTGTGGCGGTAGGGCTCCTTCCAGACTGGGCGGGTGCAGTTCTCATTCTCGCCCTGAATCATTGAATGCTAAACCCACACCGAACCACACCTTGGATGCTAGAAAGTCTTAAAGCCGGAAGCTGCGAAGCCCCAACCTGGAAGCATAAGCCCTGAACCCTGTATCTCCGTAAGTTCAACCTCAGCCATTAACCCTGGACCCTAGCCTGTAAATCCTAGCCAAACACACCCTGACGCCTACATGCCCCAAATCAGCTGAGCGTATGGGAAACATTGCCCCAAGGTGTCCTAAATAGCCCTGGCCTTGCACACGCATGGCTTAACCTGCAAAAACTAAACTTGTGCCAAAGCTTGACTCTGAATCCTATGGAGTAAACCCTAGACCCAACCCTGAATCCCAAAACCTACACCCGAAACCCCGAAGCCTGAACCCTACCATACCCTGTTTTTGGTTTCCATTATTCATGCTCGTGACGGATTAAGTTACAGGGACCCTGCGAAAAGGTTGTTGGTAGTTCTCGGTACTACGCCCTTGCTACCGACCCTAGACGCGAAACCCAATCCTCCTAAACCCTCAACACAGACCTCAAACCTTAACTTTAGGGTTTGCTTTAACCCCAAATAACCTACCGTTGTAAGGACTTATGTAAAGATAACATAACACGGAACCCGACAAAATTGAAAAGGTAGGCTCTTTGGGGTCCAGGTAGTGTTTAGGGTTCGTAAACCCTGAACCCCAGACCCTAAAACCCAAAACCCAAACCCTCCTAACCTGCTAACCCTAAACTTCAGATTCGGTCGCCGCTGGTCCAACCCTGTTGAGCTTGCTGCACATGTGGGTGGTTGTCAAAATTAGGGCCCCTCTTTGGGTCCGTATTAATTGTAATACGGCACCTAATAGTTAGGGTATCCAGAAAGGGACCATCATTTTGACCAGTAAATTGGTTGAAATCATAGGCGAGTCCTACTGAGACATGAGCAACTAAATTGGTTGATATCATCGGCGAGTCCTACCGGGACATGAGCAACCCGCAGCTAGTCGCCTAGAAGTCCTGATGGCTGACACTGGCGAATGTCCGACCGAACCCTAACTACACCGGAAACCTAAGCGCCGTAGCCTCCGCCTTGTAGTGATTTGCGCCTTCAGAGACCTGATCTGGCAGAGTTCCGAGTTCCGAGAGCGAAAGTATAGACCCTGAAACCCCTGAAACCCCTAAACCCTCTCCGGCGGAGGCGGTGGCAGAGAAGCACACGGAGCTTCCGGATCCCTCCAACTTTGCGCCTTGAGCTGTTGGAAAGGGCATCGTTTTTCTTTTTTAGGGTTGAGGGGGCTCTGGGGCTGTTTCGGGACTAAGGCTTTAGGGTTTTAGAGTTCGGGGTCTTAGGCTGTAGGGGTTTAGGGTTTAGGGATGTGGGGTTCAGGCGGTTTGCATAAGTCCTAATGTCCTGATGCAAAAACGGTTTAGGGTGTGAAGGACAGAACCTCACAGCCCGGATAGAGCCCCAGACCATCCAAAGTCCTTTATTTCAAGAGTATACAGTATGCCTTAAATCTCCCTTGGGATCCGGTAATGATTTGAATGCATATTGCGTAAGGGAGATTGGAAGGTCTAGGGCTGTTTAGGGATTTAGGCCTCGGTTTAGGGCGTTAGGGTTTTGAGGTTTCCCCTAAATCCCTATTGAAGGGCATTTGGGGGGCGTCCTGGTAGGGTTAAGGCTTCATAGGGCCGCCACTTGTGTGCTTGATCTATAAGCCTGACAGTTTGTAGTAGTGCAACCTACGGCCGCTCCTACACACTTGCACTTTAGAATAGAGCACACCCGGCCCGAAGCCCCACAGTAATTGTTGAGGCCCTGTGGTAACTTTGGGCTGCGAGCTTGCTGACATCCTTTCAGAATGCCCCGCTCTCTGAGCTCCAAACCAGAAGCGGTCTGGATGGCGCATGTTTTTGTCCCAAAAACCACACAAGGGGACTGACGATAAGAAATCTTTAGGGGTTGGACTCAGCGGCCACAGCTACTCCCTGGGGTTCGGGTTTAGCATGGTTCAAGTCGAGAAGAAATCACCCTGCTTTTTTGCCGAACCTCAAACGGAAAGTGTTAAACTCTGACAGCCCTGACCCTAAGCTTGATTGGTCCAGGTCGTGACCACGATCTCGCGAGGAGTGGCAGGGCTTCAGGGTCTCTTTCTGGGCTTTGGGGCAGAGCTTCGATTTGAGGACTTGCTTTCGGAATTGCTCAGGTTGTGGCACCATCGAACTTAGAGCCCTCAAGCCATTGCAGCCCAACATGACTGCAGGGGAGGTCTCGTAAACCTGCAATGGCAAAGCGCACCCTCTACACTGCCATTCTTGGATTCTTGTTAAGGGATGTAGTTGTTTGTTTAAGTTACCATCATCGAGAAACCATAGTATTGTTTACTGTAGATTCCTGTCATGGAAACTTAAATTTAACCCCGTGAATATTCGCCACAGAATACAGACCCCTCTTATGGAAGCTTATATAAGTTAGGTCCTTTAATTACACAAGCGAAGACCCCAAACAGAATGCATCGAATCATACCGGTTCAAGTTGGAATGTGTTGGATCCCAATCTGGCTTCGCCAGCAGATTTTGCGAAGAAGAATTATAGGCATTGGGCGATATATTTCTGCGAAGGAAGAGTGGGTGGTGGGACTCAAGCATGTGGGAAGGTTTTTGGGAGGGTCCACGGAGCATCGTTCAGAGGATCCTGCTGCAACACCATGCACGGAAAACATGCACATTTCTCCCGCAACTGCCACATTGTTGCCGCCTTTGCAAAACAGGATACCTGGCCTCTGCTGCAAACGTTCGCGGACGAAGTGCAAAAGAGCTTGGTGTTCGCTTCGGTTGGCTGTCGGACGGGAAGAAAACGAGAACTTTGCCGTGCATGTTTGACAAGAAAGGTAGGAAGGGATTTGTCGGCTTTCAAGGCAAACAAAAAGCTCTCTTAACGTGGAACCATTCACGTTTTCTCTGCTGACCGAACGAAGAGCATTGTCCACAGGATTTTGTTGCCGCAGGAACCGCACAAAGAAAAAACGCAACTTCTCCACAAATTTCATAACATTACCGTTTTGCAAAACAGGATTCCTTGCCTCCGCTGTAGACATTGGAGGAAGGAGCACAACAGAGGTTGCTATATGGATCGGTTGGCTGTCGCACGGGAAAAAGTGTGAACTTTGCCGCGCAATTTTGGCGAAAAGAAGCGCGCACAGGGGTGCGTCGGCTCACAACACAAAACAAAAATCTTTCTTTACACGGAACCATTCACGACTTTTTCCGCAGGCCGAACGAAGATCCATAGAATCTAGCTACCGCAGAAACCACGCACGGAAAAAAACACACACACAACATTGCCGTTTTGCAATTTTGCAAGACAGGATATGTGGCCTCTGCCGTAAACGTTTGTGGAAGAAGCGCAAAACAGGTTGGTAAAGGCTCGGTTGGCTGTCGCACGGGAAAAAGCGTGAACTTTGCGGCGCAATTATGGCGAAAAGAAGAGTAAATGGGTTTGTCGGCTTACAAGGCACACAAATCTTTCTTTACACGGAACGATTCACGATTTTGTCCGCAGACCCAACGAAGATCCACAGGATCTTGCTGCCGCAGCAACCACGCACGGAAAAAACACGCAACATTGCCGTTTTGCGAGACAGGATATGTGGCCTCTGCTGTAGACGTCTGTGGAAGAAGCGCAAAACAAGTTGGTATACAGATCGGTTGGCTGCCACACGGGAAAAGGTAGGAACTTTGCCGCGCAAACTTGGCAAAAAGAAACGCAAAGGGGTTTGTCGGCTTACATCGCAAACACAAATCTTTCTTTACACGGAACCATTCACGGTTTTGTCCGCAGACCGAACGAAGATCCACAGGATCTTGCTGCCGCAGCAACCACGCACGGAAAAAAGCACGCAACATTGCCGTTTTGCAAGACAGGATATGTGGCCTCTGCTGTAGACGTCTGTGGAAGAAGCGCAAAACAAGTTGGTATACAGATCGGTTGGCTGCCACACGGGAAAAAGTAGGAACTTTGCCGCGCGAACTTGGCAAAAAGAAACGCAAAGCGGTTTGTCGGCTGAACAATCTTTCTTTACACGAAACCGTTGACGGTTTTTTCCGCCGACAAAACGAAGAACGTCGTCCACAGGATCTTGCTGCCGCAGAAACCACGCACGGAGAAACACACAAGTTCCCGTTTACACGGAACCATTGACGATGTTTTCCGCAGACAAAACGAAGAACGTCGTCCACAGGATCTTGCTGCCGCAGAAACCACGCACGGAAGAACACACAACCTTCCCGCAACTGTTACAACATTGCTGCCCTGCAAGACAGGGTACCGGATACCTGGCCTCTGCTGTAGACGTTTGTGGAAGAAGCACAAAAGAGGTTGGTTTACGGATCGGTTGGCTGTCGCACGAGGAAAAGTGGGAACTTTGCCGCGCAAACTTGGCGAAAAGAAGACCGCACAGGGGTGTGTCGGCTTACAAGGCAAAATAAATATCCTTCTTTACACGGAACCACTGACGAATTTTTCCACAGACCGAACGAAGAACTTCGTCCACAGGCTCTTACTTCCGCAGAAACCACGCACGGAGAAAACACACACACACACACACACACACAACTTTCCCGCAACTGAGTTAATCCGACCCTCAACAACAGCACAACGATATTGGGGTAGGATCGCCGGGCAAGGCAAGGAAACCCAAAAGGGAAACCCAGCCCGAAGAGGAACACAAGCTGCAAGCGTACCTCTTTTCTCATTACTTGAGCCAAAGATCATGTCATTGGCACATTAAGCTACGCAGTCAGACATGTTACCTATACAAGGACAGGGAACGCCGTATTCGACCAACTAACTGTTACAATATTGCTGCTTTGCAAAACAGGATACCTGACTTTTGCTGTAGATGACTGCGGGAGAAGCACGAAGCAGGTTGGTATACGGATCGGTCGCCTGTCGGACGGAAAAAATTGGGAACTTTTTGCCGTGCAAACTTGGCAAAAAGAAGTGCGAAGAGGTTTGTCGGCTTCTAAGGCGAACGAAAATCTTCTTTTGCATGGAACCATTGACGATTTTTCCGCAGACCGAACGAAGAGCGTCGTCCACAGGATCTTGCGGCAAGTTTCCCGCAAGTGTCACAACCTTGCCGTTTTGCAAGACAGGATACCTTGCCTCTGCTGTAGACGTTCGTGGAAGAAGCACAAACGAGATTAGTCTACGGATCGGTCGGCTGTCGCACGGGAAAGACGGGCAACTTTGCCGTACAAACAGGGCAAAAAGAAAAGCGAAGGAGTCGGCTTACATCGCAAACAAATATTTTCCTTACACGGAACCATTGACAATTTTTCCGCAAACCGAACGAAGAACGTCGTCCACAGGATCTTGCTGCAGCAGAAACCACACACGGAAAAACACACAACTGTTACAGCATTGCTGCCTTGCAAGACAGGATACCGGATACCTGGCCTCTGCTGTAGACGTTTGTGGCAGACCAGGCGCCCAGAAAGGAAACATTAAGGGAACCCAGCGGGAGCTCAGGCCTGTGCTGCGGCCCGCCCGTCCAAACCAGGAGCCCAGAAAGGAAACAGGAAGGAAACCCAATTGGTAGCCCAATCCCCACCCATCCAATCCAGGAGCCCAGAACGGAAACATGAAGGGAGGTAAACGGGATTGCCGCGGCCCAAGGAAACATGAAGGGAGCCCAACGGAAGTCCAGGTCCAACCCAGCAGCCCAGAAAGGAAACATGAAGGGAGCCCAATGGGAGCCCAGGTCCTTTGCCGCAGCCCACCCGTCCAACCCAGGAGCCCAGAAAGGAAACATGAAGGGAAGTGAATGGGAGCCCAGGTCCTTCGCCGCTCCAACCCAGGAGCCCAGAAAGGAAACATGAAGGGAGCCCAACAAAGCCCAGGTCCTTCGCTGCGGCCCAACCCAGCAGCCCAGAAAGGAAACATGAAGGGAAGTGAATGGGAGCCCAGGTCCTTCGCCGCGGCCCACCCGTCCAACCCAGGAGCCCAGAAAGACAGCATGAAGCGAAGTGAATGGGAGCCCAGGTCCTTCGCCGCGTCCAACCCAGGAGCCCAGAAAGGAAACATGAAGGGAAGTGAAGGGGAGCCCAGGTCCTTCGCCGCATCCCACCCGTCCAACCCAGGAGCCCAGAAAGGAAACATGAAGGGAGCCCAATGGGAGCCCAGCCAGTTTGCCGCGGCCCAGCCATCCAACCCACCGCGGCCCACCTTTTTTTCTGAGGAGAGAACCCCAAACCGTAATTGTTTGGGGAAAAAGCACCCGGGTTCGGCAGGGTACGTGCCGCGTGCCTCCAGCAGTTTAGGTTTAGGGTGCCCAAAGGCCTAGGACGCGCGTAGGTAACCATTAACATGTTTGGGGTACTGTACTCCTTGAATGATCCCAAAGGTTAACCTCGGAGAGCTGGAAAAGTAGGAAGGGTCCAAGTATCCAAATAGTAGGTCCTGTGCCAGTTGGGTACTTGGACCCAGGGGCAACCAGCTCTACAATGTGAAGGGTCCTAGCAGATTTGCAGAACAGCGCCAGGAAAAAGAAGAAAACTTGAAGCCCGCAGACATCTCAAGCATTCGCAGCGCTCAAGCTTTTTTGTGATCTCGCCGACAAGCAGTGGTCAACTAGTTGGGCGCTTGCTTCTGCTGGAGACCCTCAAATGTAGGATCCAGACATTGTCCTCATGCCTTTACGGTAATCCCAGCTTGAGCATCCCTACTCCATGTTCCAACTTACTGGGGTCACTGGAATCGAAGCCGAATCAAAGCCCGAATCCGCGTTCCACTTTTCCTCCTATAAGGGTCTAAGCAGCTGTGGAGGGCCGGGAAAATTCTAAGTAGACCTGATGAAAAAAGTTGCTATCACGTTCTCAGGATCAAGCTCAGATTGCTTATCATGTCTACACAGCGCATGCAGGCAACGATTTCATATCGGGGCTGTATGGAGATATCAGCTCATGCTTATGCCAGCTTTTTGAGTTGGTTCTTAAACTACATGCTCTCAGCGAACAAGAATCAAGCTTTTGTGCGCTCCTCCCCCTAAGATGGGGCGAGCAACCTGACCCTTGCCTTATCCCTACAGTCTCGATCGGTATCATTTTCGACTGTACCTTCTGTTTGGGCGGAGGTGGTGGCTGCGGCGGTGGCAAGTCGAGCGGCAGCCTCTATGAAGCCATCCACGGACGTGACAAGGCCGGGTTCATGCCTTATACCGAAAGGTCCAGGGTCTGAATCAATAGTAGTGGGGGATTTTTTGGTGTCTATGAAAGTGTATGGTACATGGATAAAAATATCAGCGAAGTTATTACTCGTTCTTTGGTTTTTGCTCTACTAGAGCTACTAGAGGTTATGCCCGACAGCGAAAACCCGAGACCCAAGATGAACCCTAATTAGGTGCGTTCCGCGAAGGCCAGCGGCTGCAGTAAACGGTAAGCCCCGAGCCCGAACCTATTTGGTCCAAGCCTAAGCACGAACTCCTAGACCACATTCGAATTTTCCGCGGCCTCGCGCCAAAACGCATGATGACACCTTTAGTGTGGCTTCCAAGAGCCGGTTTAAGTTAGCTTCGGCTGGACGTAATCAGCAGTTGGTGTACAGATGGCTTAAGTTGTTTTGCACTTAGGACGTACGGCTTATCGATTGCTGGTGCAGGCAAGAGCCTTTGACAAGGGACTATTTGACCGCAAATCTTGCGTGAGGATGGCTACCGGGCCGGCAAAGGCTGCCGCTACGGCGGCAACAGTGCCCCGATCGGCGGCGCCAGCTCCTCTCGGCGGGCGCCCACACTTCTAGAGTCCAGGCCGTGGGGCTGAGAGCTTCAATGTGTAGGGTTTAGGATTTAGGGCTGTATGCATGCACTTGTTTTTGTTGGTTTGTTTGTTGAGGCAATGGGCTGACAGGGTCGAAGTGGGTTCAGGGTAGGGTTGAGGGTACAGATAGTTTTTGCTCAAGCTGTTCCGTTGGGGGCTCAAGGTTTAGGGCTTGGGGTTTCAGTTTAAGGTTTGAGGTCTAAGACGGTGACAGTTGTCATCTTCGTGGTAGTCAGCATTCTCTGCATCGAGACGCCCATCCCCATCATATCCACCATCACCTTCAATGTCTGCAAAACAAGCACCCCTAAACCCTAAACCTCTAAACCCTAATACCCTAAATCCCTAAACCCCAAACCCCTAAACCCCTAAACCCTAAACCCCTAAACCCCTAAAGTCATGGACGCGAGCGCGACCTAGTCGTGAAGCGGCCCGCGATCGATCAGAGAGCCGCTTAGGCACATCACTGCAGAGGGTGAAGCCTTTGCAGCCTCTCATCCTCGGCAATCACCCACTGACGACTCCCTATAATGCTCAGACCCTAAAACTTCATTCCCAAGGCGTTTGTGGCACCAAAAAAAACCTAAAATGCTAATCCCCAAATTTCCTAAAACGCTAATGCCCTAAAATCCTAAAACCCTAATATGCTAAGCCGCTAAAATCCTAAAATGCTAAGCCACTAAAATCCTAAAATGTTAAGCCGCTAAAATCCTAAAATGCTAAGCCGCTAAAATCCTAGAATGCTAAGCCGCTAAAATCCTAAAATGTTGAGCCGCTAAAATCCTAAAATGCTAAGCCGCTAAAATCCTAAAATGCCAATGTTTAAAAATCTAAAATGCTAACACCCCAAAAATCTTAACATGCTAATGCCCCAAAAATCCTAAAATGCTAATGCCCCAAAAGACCTAAAATGCTACTGCCCCAAAAATCCTAAAATGCGAATCTCCAAAATACATAACATCCTAAAACACCAAGCCGCTAAGATTCTAAAGTCCTATGCCGCAAATAACCTAAAATCCTGATCACCAAAAAACTTAAAATCCTAAATCAGCAGGAATATCAAAAAAAACTAAAGCACAATATCCTAAACCCAAAATCCTACTGCAAAGCGGCGTTCAGCAAAACCAGGAGGGCTTGGAAATGGCCTTCGGAAAAGGAGCAGGCATTGCAAAATCGACAAATTTTGGCTTTCGGGCTTCCCTCCACTTCAAAAGGCTCGCAGTGGCCGAAGTGGGAGCCCCAGGCCACAACTCAAGCCCAAGCACTTTGTGGCGCCAAAAATCCTGAAATGCTAATGCCCCCAAAATCCTAAAATGCTAATGCCCAAAAAATCCTAAAATGCTAGTCTCCAAAATACATAACATCCTAAAGCGCCAAGCTGCTAAGACTCTAAAATCCTATGCCCCAAATAACCTCAATCCTAATCCCCAAAAAACCTAAAATCCTAAAGCTGCAGGAATTTTACAAACCTAAAGCACAATATCCTAAACCCAAAATCCTAATGCTAAGCGGCCTTCAGCACCCGTATATCCAGCAAAACCAGGAGGGCTTGGAAATGGCCTTCGGAAAAGGAGCAGGCATTGCAAAATCGACAAAATTGTTTGGCTTTCGAGGGGTTCCCTCCGTTTCAACGGCTCGCAGTGGCCGGAAGCGGGAGCCCCAGGCCAAAACTCAAGGTTCTCCCGTACGCATCGTGTTACTGTTGTCGATGTTTTGTGCTCCCATGCCCAACAAACCTGCATGAAAACGCAGCACGACATCAATGCCGTATGCATTCGCACAGGTGATGCGCAAAATCGATGACATTGAACAAAGAATTCTCAAGGATTTTCATCTCGGCATCTGGATCGTATTGCTCGTGCTTGTTGTATTTTGCATGATAAAGAAATTTAAAGAAAAGATAGAACTGAATACACAACGAACCTCGGGTGGGTCGGGCAACAAGCAGCCGCGCGTCAGGCTTGGCACACCCTAAACCCTAAACCCTAAATCCTCAGGTCGGTCGCACCTCACCGCCAGCCTGAGGCGAGCTCGGGTTTCGGGTTTAGGATTTAGGGTTTACGTCCTATGTTTCCGGGTTTAGGGTTTATGCTTTATGCAATCGGTCATGCAAAGGGTTTATGTTTTAGGGTTTGGGGTTTAGGGTTGAGGGGTGCAGGAGTCCCGATATCCATCGCCAGATCATGTTTATTATAGAAGCCTAAGAAATTACCAAGATGATTCCTTGGGCTCCTTATTTGATCTATGGTAGGGTCCCCTTCAGCAGCTTCTTCTGATGTCAGGATCCCCTGAGCCCCCCCTTGGGTTGCCGCTTAAAACTGGGTCTAGGGTTTGGGGGTTTAGGGTGTTTAGGGGTCCAGGTTTTTTCAGGTTTAGGGTTTAGGGAGGGTCCCTATAAGACTAGAATCTATACGGGTTCTATGGAGCCTGTTACAAGGGCTACTTGAAGGGCTACAAGGACTAGGTGGGTTCTACCCACCAGCATCCGACGCAACGTGGCTTCCTAAACCCTAAACACCTTAGCCCTAAACCCACCGCATTCGCATCAACGTCCCGGAGAACCCATTGAACACACAGCCGAAGAGCTAAACCTCCAAAGAAGTAACCCTCGAATGCAATCTGAAATCCCGATAAAACCCTGAGACCCAAAACCCTCAGTAGAAAACAAAATTAACTCGTACAAAGCCCCAAAGCCAAAAAACTAAGCCTTATCATAATCCTAGATGCTTAGAACCCATATAGTTTTGGTAGCCCTTGTAGAAAAAAGCGTCCACCTGAATCTCGAGGCATGTTTAAATGATTATATGCAAAGGACCCTGAAGCAACGTCCTGTACATCTGAAGGTAAGCCTTAAGCCCTAAGCCCCAGACACTAAACCAAATCCTAAACCCAAATCAAGAAGCTTAAACCCTGAACCCTAACTGTAAATCCTATGCTCTCATTAAAGATCCCCTACAGAACGCTTGTAGATATCTTTAAGGGAACCCGAAGGCCCAGCCCGTCTCCGCGGCCCCCGGGCGCTTGGACCTCGCAGCCGGGCCACTGCTGCGGATAACTGGAGCGGACCTCCGAGCAGCAGGAGACTGTCATCTAAGTTTAGGGGCCTTAATAATTAGACTAATTAGGGTTCCCTTTACAGCGTTCCTTAAAGGGGTCTATAAGGATCTATAGCCGGGTCCGGCCAGCTTCCACCAATCGAACCCAAACCCCTCCCGAGGGCCCCTGCCCGCGCCCCAAACCCCAAACTCAACACCTCGCACCCCGAACCCCGGCCCAACCTCCGACGATCTCCAATTCCCAACCCCCATCCCCAAAAGGGCTCCTGCTGGATCGCGTGAGGCCCAACGCAGGGTTTGAGCCCGCTGGAGTCTTCCCGCCAAGGTTCACGGACTTCCATGTCGTTGTTAGATCCCCGCGCAAGCGCACAAAACTGACATGCCGACCCCACCCGTGTCCACGGTGTTTCCCCCGCCCAAAATCCTGCAAGGCACGGCGAAGTCAGCCCCCGTCCGACACCTCCGCCAGCCCGCCAACGCTGCCGCAGCCGCCACCGTGGCAGAGGGGGCTGGGGAACTCAGACGAAGGGACACATCTAAACTAGTCCCTAAAGCCTAAGCCCCGCGCCCTTAACCAGTAAGGTGGGTGGTCTTGCACTTCGGACCATGTGTAATATGACAGCTGAAGCTGCCAACCGAGGCGGTCCGTTTGGCGGTCAACGGCCAGTACGTCTGCTATGTGGATTCCGAAGGCGTCACGCAGGTTCAGGGTTTTTGGTATAGGGCCTAGGTGCCACAGTCGCTAGTGCTACCACGTCCTCCGGTTGCTGCCGCTGCTTTTGATTTTCGGCTCCTCTCCCTCCCCCTCTGCCATGCTGTTGCTACTACTACTACTACTACTACCACTACTACGACTACTACTACTACTACTACTACTACTACTACTACTACTACTACTGCGACTACTGCGACTACTACCACTGCTGCTGCACCACTATCATCACCCGTCCCACGACAACGACGACGACAACCTCTGCCACTACCACTCTGCCAGAGTAGATGAAGCTGTCCGAGGCCGCCTGACATTCGACCCGAAAGAGCCACGATGCGGACTTCGCATGTTTAGGGCCCGGGTTTAGGATTTAGAAGCAACTATTTTGACACATTATTTTGACACGCTTAAGCTCTGAATCTTAATCCCTAGGCCCAACCCCAGGCTCGGAACTCAGCCCTGCAGCTTAACATTTTGAGCCTTCAACCCTGCGCAGAAACCCTGCAACCCCAAGAACTAAATCCTCCGCATGGATCTCAAGCCATCCTCTTGCAGGAAGCTGACGGTCCAAATCCTTGTACCAGGTGCCTAAACCTTAAACGACAAATGAGTCCTAAACCCTACGAGAACTCCAAGGAGCTTCCTCAAGAACCCTATAAGAAACCTTAAAACCCTGACTGAGCCTTAACCCCATGTTTTGCAGGCACCAAAGTCCAAGTAATCTCCGCGGCAGCGGGGAGTGCGGCATCTTCGCTGCATTTACAACACATTCATCTTCTCACGACGATGCGAATATGTCATATGTATTATGATTATTGTAACTTGCAATAGTTATTGACCCTAACCCACCTGTTGCTGTTATTAGTCGTTAGTTGTTAGCAGTGTTGATACCATTACCCGGGTTGCAGTTACCAGTAGTTTTCTTTCGTGATCTTTCCGTTCCTATTGCCATGCAATGCTACATCGTTAGCTGTTTGTACCGCTTGCTTGTCTTGCTATTGCTATTTTGTCTATAGCCCGTGTTGATGAACAGGACTTCTATGATGCCTGTTATTGTTACTGCTGTCCATAGCTCAGACACCAAACTCCAAACCGCAAACTCCAAAGCCAAGGTTAAAACCTTTGAATCTACCCCTCCTATTACTAAACCCTAAATCCTAAACGCCATAAAGCCTCAACCCCAAAGGCCCCGAAATCCCTAAACCTCAAGCCCTGCCTCCCCTGAAAAACACCAGGCACAAATGGCGGTAGATGTCATCGTTGGAGAACACAAATGAAGCCCTTCTGGAACCCTCTTTCGAGTTCCCGGGCCTTCAGCGCTTGCAGGCCCACGAAACTTAGTAAGTAGGTTATTAGCAGGGTTACGATAACTGGGGCAACTCTATTTACGGTACTTATAACTCTACTTCTAACCTACTGACTAAGTCCCCTGGGCCGACAAGTGCCAAGCACTACGGCTCTAAGAATCCGCAGACGCAAGATCCCACCTCCTACGCTCTAACCCAACTCAGAGATCCGAAACCCTCGGATCTAGGGTTAGGGTTTAGGGATCCCCTGGAGCCCCAAGTTGGTGAGCATTCAGCTTCCTCTAGAACCCTTCCGGAAGCCGCTTCAATTGCCCCTCAAAAACCCTTTCGAGGCCACTCGAAACCATCGATCCCCAAGTTAGGGAACCCCACCTTTGGAACCCTTTCTCAACCACGAAGGACCCTAAACCCTAAATCTAAAACCCTAAGCACTAAGCCCCGAGCCCTAAGGTGGTCTGCATCGATTCTCATGGAGCGAAAGTGGTAGACATGGCCGTGGCTCCGAGGGACTCACATCTCCTCGTGGTCTCGGCCCTGTGGGGCTTAGGGTTTAGAGTTTGCAGGCATGTGTATGGAGTTCTCGAAATTTTGGTTCCCGCTGGGTCTCCAAAATAGCACGGCATGCACGGCACCCCTATAAAGAGAGCCCTGATTAATTTGGAGAATTGCCCCTTTGTATGGGTGTTTGAGAAGGTTGTAGAGGGTTTCATCGGGTAGTATCGGCTTTGGAAGAGTTTGATGGGCCTGTAGGACTTGAAACTTCTGCGTATTTGGAAGGGTATTATTGCCGTATATTACAGTATATTAGAGTATCTATATTTTCTTGGTTATTTGTGAAGCAGGTTTGGGTGTTAGGGTGTGTGTCGTGGAATTAAGGATTCATTTCTTCGAGAGCTACGTCTAGTGGACTGAACATTCCTTCAAGTTCCTTAAATAGAGCCTATACTATGACAGTCTCCAGCCCCCTTTCCGATTGTCTGGGCCTTTATATGAAAAATTGCATAATTACGTACCAGCATTATCCTCCTTCTAAGGACCAGCAAAAGGGGCACCCCAATTATTATGGAAACTCCTCTTTTAGCCCGGATCCTGGGCAGGCACAGAATCTCCCTAGCCGGAATGCCGAACTTCCTCTGCCCCCAACCCTAAACCCCTAACGTGCTTGTTCCACCCTTTTTCTTCAAAGGGCCTTAATATTAGAATCCCAGTCATGGTCCTTGTTCAGGAGATTTTTGAATTAGGGGGCTGCATGATTCCTCCCCATCTTTCCCTTGCCTCGGCCGGTTCGCTCCCTACTTCGCTGTAAAGTGCAATGTAACCTTCAGATAATAATGATGCCCCAAAACACCAAACTCTACCCGACCTCAAAGCCTCAGCCCTGAACCTTCAACTCGCCAGAAGAACGCCACCTACGGGCTTCCGAATCTGCGAGAGGAAGAAGGGCCCTTAAAAACCAACCCCAACCCCTAAACCCCCAAACACAGAAACCTAGACCTTAAAGCCCAAAACCTTAAACCCACAACCGCAAAGTCCCGAGACCCAGAAACCGTAAACCGCTAAGAACACATTATTGTACTATGTAGAATACAACATGTTGTAATATATAGAAGATGTGTGAGTATAGTTTTAAGATTTGTTTTGTAAACGTTATAACATCTTATACTAGACTCGAGCACGCTATCATACTTGGAGGCCCAAGGGACTTAGTAAGTATAGGCTATAAGCAAAGTTTTAAGTACCCTAGATGGAGTTACCCCGATTGCCACCCTACTTACTGTAGAACCTGCTTACTAAGTCCCTTGGGCCTCCAAGTACATTCCATATTCTAATCACTTACTACATTACATGATCACTTGGGAACTGCCCACACTCAGTAACAGTTGGATAGTATCCACAATACGGTTCTATTAGGCCCTTACTAGTAGGCCCTATTATAGACTGTCGCTGTTCGGGGGCAGTACCCAAATTACAACCCTCGGATCTCCCCCGATCCGGCCGAGGCCTTTAACAGCACTGGGGTCAACCTCTACAGGTGCGCGCTTTTCATTTTCTGCATGCACTATGTAGCTTGTTGGGCTGTGACTTTTGTATGTCGAATTTTATCGTATGGTTGTAACTGTTTATAAGGATAATATGTTTGTAACTATTATAAGGTTTGATCATAACCTGCAATATTAATCATGTAGTTATACAACTATAGTAGGGAAACCAAGAAATTCTTTGTAATTATTTAGGCTTCTACACAAGATCTATTGGGCTCTTTCAGGGGTTTTCAAGGGTTCTACTAGGGTTCTAGAAGGGTTCTAAACGGGGTCCTATACAGGTTCTAAGTTTGTTCGTGTTCTGCTCCGTGCAGTGACAGGCTTCCACAGCCGAGACCAGCAATGCTGCTGGCCTTCGATCACTCCCCTCAGGCGTGCAGCGACAGGGCTTGCGAGCATGAGGGCTGAATATTAATGTAGAGGACTTACCAATGCGATTTTGGGGATTCCCTGTTATTAAATTCAGAGCATCAGAAACCCCAGAACGCGATTCTGATAATTGAGGCCTCTATATTAGGGTTTAAGGGCCTAGGGTTTAGGGCTTTGGAGCCTCTAAGGCCCTGCACACTCACCGCCCTCAGCCACCATTGCCCTGAACTTTACGTAAAGCCCTGAATGTCGTTGCTTGCCCCGAAACCCTAAACCCCTAAACGTGCCGCGCCCCAAGCCGGAAAAGCATTAGGCAAAGCCCTACGGTTTGTTTGAATTTCCCCCCAAACGGTCCCAGGTTGTTAAGATCTGGATAATCGCTATAAAATCCCTTTCAGTCCACAGAAGCTATTGCAGCTTCTGTTAAGCCACCTAACACCTGTAGGACCCTTTAGAAAGCCTCTCTGAAATACCTTGTTCTTTGAAATCCCTAGATCAAGCCCTGAACCGTAAGCCTTCTGCGGAGAAAGAGCGACTGCATCATGAAAGAACAGTTTTTGGATCCTGAACCGCTTTCTGTTAAAACGCTATTTAAAACACCTTCTGGAATCCATTAGATGATAGAGACCACTAAATCGATTTTTCAGGTCACTATATCAAGCCTTTGCCGGACTCTATGAAGCCTTCTCTGGATACAAAACCCTGAAGCACGCACCGTATGGAAATCCTCATGGAAGCACTCACGTACCCGTGTAGAAACCCTTTTAGTATCCCTTGTAGAAGCCCTTATAGAAGCCCTTCTAGTAACCCCTTCTTATCGAAGCCCCTGAACGAAACCTGAAAGGGATGCGGGGGCTGCTGGGGCAAGCTTTGTGAGCCTTTTCTTCAGCTGACAACCAGCCGCAAAGGGCCTCCTCGGGCGAGCTTTGTGAGCCAATTCGCCTGGAAGCACGCAAAAAAGATTTTCTTCAGCTGACAACCAGCCACAAACAGCGTCCTTTGGCAAGCTTTGTGAGCCAATTTGCCTGGAGGCAAACAAGAAAAGGTTTTCTTCATTTGACAACCACCCATCAAAAGCCTCCTGGGGCAAGCTTCGTGAGCCACTTCGCTTAGCTTTGTGATCCAGTTCGCCTGGATCCAAGCAAAAAGGGTTTGCTTCAGTTGACAATCAGCCACAAAGGGCTCGTGAGCCAATCCGCTTGGAGGCAAACAAGAGAAGACTTTCTTCAGCTGACAACCACCCACAAAGGGCTTCCTGGGCTTTGTGAGCCAATTCGCCGGAGGCAAACAAAAACAAATTACTTCAGCTGACAAACCGCCCAATTCGCTTGGAGGCAAACACAAAAGATTTTCTTCAGCTGACAACCAGCCACAAAGGGCCTCCTCGGGCAAGCTTTGTGAGCAAATTGGCCCGGAGGCACACAAAAAGATTTCTTCAGCTGACAACCAGCCACAAAGAGCGTCCTGGGGCAAGCTTTGTGAAACAATTCGCGTGGAGACACCTAAGAGGATTTGCTTCAGCTGACAACCAGTCGCAAAGGGCCCCCCGGGGCAAGCTTTTTGAGCCAATTTGCTTGGAGGCAAACAAAAAATGTGCCCAGCTGACAACCAGCCACAAAGGGCTTCCTCGGGCAAGCAAGCTTTGTGAGCCAATTCGCCTGGAGGCCAAAAAAAAATCTTCAGCTGACAACCAGCCACAAGGGGCCTCCTGGGGCAAGCTTTGTGAGCCAATTGGCCTGGAAGCACGCAAAATTTACAGGACCGGTTAACTCCACATGTGAAGATTATCTTTGTGCAGAGAGTACAGAAACGAGTAGGGAGAATGAGCGAAGGAGTGTGTGAGTGAGCGATAGTGAGCGAGTAATCGAGTGCAGGAGTGAGTGTGTACGTGGGCGTGAGCATGTGAGTGCGGTTCGCTTCAGTTGACAACCGCAAGCTTTGTGAGCCTATTCGCCTGGGGGCAAACAAAGAAGATTTGCTTCAGCCGACAACCACCCACAAAGGGCCTCCTGGGGCAACCTTTGTGAGCCAATTCGCCTGGGGGAAAACAACAAAAGTTTTTCTTCAGCTGACAACCAGCGACAAGGGGCCTCCTGGGGCAAGCTTTGTGAGCCAATTCGCCAACAAGAACAGATTTTTTGCAGCTGACAACCGCCCGCGAAGGGCCTCCTGGGCAAGCTTTGTGAGAGCCACATCGCCTACATCGCCTGGAGGCAAACAAAAAAGGGTTTGCTTCAGCTGACAACCAGCCACAAAGGGCCTTCGCCTGAAGGCAAACTAAAAAGATTTGCTTCAACTGACAACCAGCCACAAAGCGCCCCCTCAAACAAGCTTTGTGAGCGAATTCGCCTGGAGAACAATAAAATAGTGTCTTCAGCTGACAGCCAGCCACAAAGGGCCTTTTGGGGCAATCTTTGTGAGCCAATTCGCCTGGAGGCAAACAAAAATTGTTTTTCTTCGAACATCCACCCTCAGATAGTGCGTTTGAAGGCTCATACAAATTACTGTGTAGCAAGCTGTAAACTGTGTAGTCTCACGGTAGTCTGTGGATTGGGGTGGTTGTCAGCTGAAGAAAATCTTTTTTGTTTGCCTCCAAGCGAATTGGCTCACAAAGCTTGCCCCAGAACGCTGTTTGTGGCTGGTTGTCAGCTGAAGAAAATCTTTTTGTGTGTGCAGCCCTGTGTCGCTGGTTGTCAGCTGAAGAAGTTAGCTTTCAAAGTCAGCTATTACTCCTCGTGTATTGGGACTACCTCCAGAGACTGCCTTTGAGTGCCACAGACTACCACGAGACCTGGAGCGAAAGACTACCGTGAGCCTAACCCCCCCACTGCCGTGAGACTCCCTGGAGCGCCCAACCATGCCCAACCCCACAGACTAGCGAGAGACTCCCCGCAGTGTCGAGCACTGGAGTGCCCAACCCCACAGACTGACGTGAGACTCCCGGAAGTGCCACGAAGGGCTTCCTGGGGCAAGCTTCGTGAGCCAATTCGCCTGGAGGCACACAAAAAAGTTTTTCTTCAGCTGACAACAAGCCACAAAGGCCCCACTGGCAAGCTTAGTGAGCCAATTCGCATGGAGGCACAAAAAACTGTTTGGCGGCTGACAACCAGCCAGAGCCAATTCGCTTGGGGCAAACAAGAAAAGATTTTCGTCAGCTGACAACCAGCCACAAACAGCGTCCTGGGCCAAGCTTTGTGAGCCACTTCGCCTGAAGGCAAACATAAACAGGTTTGCTTCAATTGCCAACCAGCCACAAAGGGTCTCCTGGGGCAAGGCTTGTGAGCCAATTCGCCTAAAAGCAAACAAGAAAAGATTTTCGTCAGCTGACAACCACCCACAAAGGGCCTCCTGGGGCAAGCTCTGCGAGCCACTTCGCCTGGAGACAAACGAAAAAGGGTTTGCTTCAGCTGACAACCAGCCCAAACACGTGGAAGCAAACAAGAAAGTTTTTCTTCAGCTCACAACCACCCACGAAAGGCCTCCTGGGGCAAGCTTTGTGAGCCACTTCGCCTGGAGGCAAATGAAGCCAGCCACAAAGGGCCTGCTGGGCAAGCTTTGTGAGCCAATTCGCCAGACAGCAAAACAAGAAAAGACTGTCTTCAGCTGACAACCACCCGCCAAGGGCCTCTTGGGGCAAGCTTTGCGTTTGGAGGCAAACAAAAAAGGGTTTGCTTCAGCTGACAAAACCGCCCACAAAGGGCCTGCTGGGGCAAGCTTTGCGAGCCATTTCACCTAGAGAGACACTAAAAAACTGTTCTTCAGCTGGCAACCAGCCACAAACAGCGTCCTGGGGCAACCTTTGTGAGCTAATTCAACTGGAGGCAAACAAGAAAAGATTTTCTTCAGTTGACAACCAGCCACAAAGGGCTTCCCCGGGCAAGCTTTGTGAGCCATTTCGCCTGGAGGCACACAAAAAAGATTTTCCTCAGTTGACAACCACCTACAAGGGGCCTCCTTGGGCAAGCTTTGTTAGCCAAGTCGCCTGGAGGCAAACAAGAAATAATTGTCTTCAGCTGACAACCAACTACAAAGTTCCTCCTGAACCAAGCTTTGTGGGCCACTTCGCCTAAACAGGTCTGCTTCAGCTGACAGCCGCCACGACTGGCTTCCTCGGGCAAGCTTTGCGAGCGGCACACCAAAAACAGGTTTTCTTCAGCTGACAGCCAGGCACAAACAGCGTCCTGGGGCAAGCTTTGTGAGCCAATTCGCGTGGAGGCAAACAAAAAAGATTGTCTTCAGCTGACAACCAGCCACAAAGGTCCTCCTCGGGCAAGCTTTGTGAGCCAATTCGCCTGGAGGCACAAACAGCGTCCTGGGGCAAACTTTGTGAGCCAATTCGCCTGGAGGCAAACAAGAAAAGATTTTCATCGGCTGACAACCACCCACAAACGGCCTCCTGGGACAAGCTTTTTGTGAGCCACTTCGCCTGGAGGCACACAAAAAAGGATTTGTTTCAGTTGACAACCAGCCACAAGGTGCCTCCTGGGGCAAGCTTTGTGAGCCAATTCGACTGAAATTCAAGCAAATACGATTTTCTTTAGCTGACAACCAGCCACAAAAGGCCTCCTTGCGCAAGCTTTGTGAGCCAATTTGCTTCAGCTGACAACCAGCCACAAAGGGCCTGATCGGGCATGCTTTGTGAGCCAATTTGCCTCGAGGCACACAAAAAAGTTTTCTTCAGCTGACAACCAGCCACAAGGTCCTCCTGGGGCAAGCTTTGTGAGCCCATTCGTTTCTTCAGCTGACAACCAGCCGCAAAGGGCCTCATGGTGGCTCGGAGTATCCTACAGGTTCTAACTTACCCTCCCTAGTGGCCGCCAGCTGTAAAATTTGTGAAAGCACCTGGGAAAACTCCAAAGTCCATCAAATCCAGCTGTTGATCCAGGCAGGTTCTGACTTCCCTCGGCGACGCTTTAGGTTCTAACTTGACGCTCGGCGCCCCAGAACGCAAGTCGATGCTCCCGACAAAAATCGACGACGAGGGGGGTTCTAACTTGTCGTCCGGGAGAGTAAGTTTTTACGGTATGTTCCCATAAACCCCAAAGCCCCCAAACCCCAAACCCGACCTAAACCCCTAACCTCGAATCCTAAACCTTTGATTAAGGGGTCTTGGACTCTGGGTGTGTCAGGCTGTGGATTGGCATCCTTCGAACCCCAAGGCCGGCTAGTTTCCCACGCTGTTTTTCTTGTTTTTGAGGGGGGAGGGCTTGGGGTTAAGGGTTTTGTCGGCGATCTTATGGGTTTTGTTGGGGATATTGTGAAGGTTTTCGAAAGGTTCTTAGGGCGCAGGAAAAGGGCTCGGTTTTGGGCTTCGAGCTCGAAAGCTCCGTGGTTAGGGTCTCCTAAACCGACGGTTTGGTAGGGTGCCTATGAAATCCGTCTTAGGGCTGACAATAAGAACTTACCATATCCGATTTTTTGCCGGGTCCCGATAGCATCCATGTTTATAGTAAGAACCAGCCAAAACCTACTTTGTTGTCGGTTCCCTACAGAATCTATATTAGGGTTGATACTAAGAACCAACCGCACCCTACTTATATGGTTCTGTTAAACAATCCATGTTAGAGTTTAAATTTAAAGGAACCCACGGTAGGTTTTGGGGTATGGGTTAGGCCTCATGGGTTCGGGGTCCCGAGCTTGGCTGTAATATAGAAGCTTTGAAAAGTTACCCGTGTTATTCCTGTAGGTTCCTTATTGCAGTTATCCTTATAGTACCCTTACAACTCACTTTTAGTAGCCCTTATATAGAGCCTTTGAAAGGAGCCCTTTTAAGGAACCCTATTCTATTCATTTCAAAGCCTCAACAGTGAGAGGCCTGGTTTGAACAGTTATGCGTTGGCTCCCAGAGTTGGGTTGTTTTCACCAGTACGGTTAAGGGTTTAGGGTTCACGGTTAAGTTTAGGGTTTAAGGTTTAGGGTTCAGGGTTCAGGGTTGACGGCTAAGTTTAGGGTTTAAGGTGTAGGGTTGAGAGTTCAAGTTCTAAGGTTTACGGTTAAGGTCAGGGTTTGAGGTTTAGGGTTTAGGGTTGGGGGTTTAGGGATACCAACATCAACATCACAGTGGTGTCCTGGCGGTGTTCGTGGCTCTCCACCACAAGCCTTCTTAGCCTTGGCCTTAAAGCCCCAAAGCCATAAATCCCTAGAGCCTGGTCAATCAAACCCAAAGCCGCACATCCAGTCGTCGGCCAGGTGTTCCTGACTCTGCAGGAAGGCTGCGTCCTGCCCGGACCTCAGTTCCGTTATCATTACTACTACTACTGCTGCTGCTGCTGCTCCTGCCACAACAACAACTACTACTGCTACTACTGCTACTATTATTATTCGTAGTTTTAGTACTACTACAACTGTACCTACTACGACTACGACTACGTCGGGATCTGGGTCACTGGATGAAGTGGGCTTGCGGTGGCTCTTGCAGCCGTGCACGTCCCAAAGCTGATACATGTACATGTACACACATATCCACATATTCAGATGCTTGTATGCGCATAGCACAACATATCAAAAATGAGCATAGCTAACATCTCCGGCGCCATGACGAACCCTTTGTCGAGTATGACCCTACGTGCCGTGAGGGGCAGAGAAGTCGGTGAACCAGCAAGAGACCTGAGCCATTCCAGTTGAAAGCACGCATGCAGGAAAAAACCGGGGATCCCTTCAGAGTGGTGCGAGGGTGACAACAAAACGCTGTCCCATCCCGTTAAACCCTAACCCACAAATCCAAGCCCTGAAACCCTAAGCCCTAACTAAATCCCAACCTAAAGCCTTAAACCCTAAATCCTAAACCCTAACCCTAAAACCCTGAACCCTGAACCCTAAGCACATTATTCATTTTCCTTCTTCCCGACAACCATGGCAGAGGGGTAGCTGGCAGGCAGCGCTTCGATGCCGGACATACCCAAAGCCCAGCAACGGGTTCCAATTAACATTATTAAAAGGTTCTATAAGGGTGTCTATGAGGGTTTCTATGAGGGCTCCATAGTATAGGGGCCTTAATAATTAGAATAGGGCTCGCTTTAAGGGGCCCTGTAGGGGCCTTATCAATTGGAGTAGGACTGCGTGTACTATAATTGGAATCAGGGGCCCTCAGGAATGATATTTGTAGGTACACAGAATGCATATGCTGAGACCAGCCGCCCGTGGCATTCCCGACCCTAAACACTCTCCTAAGCACACGAAGGCACCTATCAAACAACTTGCCCAACGCTCGATAGATAGATGAAGCCGCTAACCCTAAAACCCCTAAACCCCCGAAAAATCAACAAGCGACGAAACGCTTACACGAAAACCACTCCCCGCAGGTTGTGGAACGTCCAGACCATAGCCTGCCACATGGCAATGAAGCCAACGGAGGAGGCGAGGCAATTGAACCTACTACCAGATGCTATTATTACTAGAGGTGGTAATGCTGCTGGTGGTGGTGGAGTTTCTACTGTTGCCGTTGCTACCGCTACTGCCACCGCTGCTACTGCTGCTGCTACTCCGAACATTACTACTGGTGCTGCTACTTCTACTACTACCGCCACTACCACTACTCCAAGTCCTACTCCTACTCCTACTACTCCTACTACTCCTACTACTCCTACTACTTCTACTACTCCTACTACTCCTACTGCTCCTACTACTCCTACTACTCCTACTACTACTACTACTACTACTACTACTACTACTACTACTACTACTGCTACAACTGCTACTGCTCCTACTTCTTCCACCACCACCACCACCACCACCACCACCACCGCCACCACCCCCGCCACCACCACCGCCACCACCCCCGCCACCACCGCCACCACCACCACCACCACCACCACCACCACCACCACCACCACCACCACCACCACCACCACCACCACCACCACCACCACCACCACCACCACCACCACCACCACCACCACCACCACCACCACCACCACCACCACCACCACCACCACCACCACCACCACCACCACCACCACCACCACCACCACTCCAAGTCCGTTTTTTGTACTGCTACTCCTAGTCCTCCTGCTCTTGCTACTGCTCTTGCAGCTGCTGGTGCTACTTTTATTGCTACTACTACTACTCCTCCTACTCCTCCTACTCCTCCTCCTACTACTTCTACTACCTCTACTACGACTTCTACGACTACTGCTGCTACTACTACTACTACTACTACTACTACTACTACTACTGCTGCTAGCTGCATGAAAAGATTGGAGGGCTATGGACAGCAGGCTTTCCGTAAGCGCTTCTGACACTTCACGGGTTTTTGGCTGTGAAGCGCTGTGCAACGGATTTGCGGGCTCTGTGTTAAACTCTGCACTAAATCCGAGACCTCAACCCAAGATAAGCTATAGTATTAAGCCCCTCTTCTCCAAATCCTAAGCCCCCAGACCCCAACTGTCTAGACCTCAAACCCTGAATACCCTCTTCTGTTGCAAGCCTTCTTTGAGGCGAAAAGCGAGCTGGATCGCCTCGCCTGCAAGGTCGGGCTTAGGCTACTGCTACCGCTACAAACATGACAGCAAATAACACTGATAGCATTAAACTACTAATGACGGTAATGGCAAAAATTGCAAGAAAAGCAATAGCAATAACAAGAGCATAGTGAAAACAAGAGCAGTAATCATCCTCGTTTGAGATCTTAGTAACCCCACCATCATTACGGCCACCACTGTTTCGCCTAAAATCTTGCCGAAGCTGTCCGTCCCGCCCTCCCATGAAGTCCTCAGGAGCTTCGAGTCTCGATTTTTGGGGTGTCTAAGGGGATTCTCCGAAACTCTCAGCTCCTTTACGTCTAACCCTAAACCCTAGACCTACCAAACCCTAAACTCCTTGAAACAGTACGCCCTCAAGTCTAAAGCCTAGAGCCTAAATTACAAACTAGAGGAAGGTAGGCAACATCAGCTACGCCCGGCCTTTTCTTCAGATGAACCACAATGCCTTCCGGTCGGTCGCGATGGACAGATGACCTGCAGTCGGCTTGTTCAGTGAGATTCCAGTGCAGAGCTTCTCAAACGACTGTTAGCAATGATTGGGCTCGCACGGGTACAATTAATATTATCTTTGTGCTCCACACTAAACCCTGGGATAGGCTACTGTCGCCGCAACTAAGGAGAAGGGCCACTGCACTTCAAAAAGCCCTGAACCCTCATTCCAAAGTTCGAGACCCCCGTCTTCGCGGCAGGCCTCAGCTGATCAGCTCACCGAGGCCTCGCACGCATTGCTGAACCTGAGCGATATCCGGTCATACAGGGGTTTCGGGTTTAGGGGGTCTAGGGTTTAGGGTATTATTTTGTGGTTCCTTATCTGAATTTTTATCGCATTATGAATATACCCCAAAAACCCAATTCCAAGTCTTAAGGCCGCTTACATAGACTCTTACAGGTCCTTATTCTCGGGCTTCCTTCCAGTAGAGGCTTCGGGCTGCTGGGTTCGATGTGTTGGACCCAATTGATTTCGGGGCTTCCTGTGCCTGAACTACTAGGGGTTTAGGGTTTAGGGTTTAAGTCGAGTTTTATGGCAACTACTCAGGGTTTGGGGCTTAAAGTTTAGTTGAGTTTCAAGGGTTGAAGGAAGTCTCCAAACTGGAAAGTAGTCCTGGACGTAATCTGCAAACGATGACGAGCCGAGATGAACAGATGGCTAAAGCCTAAATCCGAAAACCCTAAACCCTAGAGCCCTAAACCTCAAGACCATAAACCCTGAACCCTCTACCTTCTCTTCGGACGCTGCCTACGTCAGGGCAGGCTGCAGCGCATGGCGATCACATCCGATGGCCGGTACCCCAGAGCCAGGTTTAGGGTTTAGGGTTTTGAGGTTTGAGGATTTAGGGCTTTAGGGGTTTAGGGTTTAGGGGTTTAGCGTGTATGTGGGGGTTTCCGAAAATTAGGGGTACCTCATTTTGGGGTCCTTATACGAGTGTAGTAAGGATCCTACGAGTCAGGGTACTATGGTACGGTCCCACATTTTCGGACACTTCTGTGACTAGGGCTTTTTTTAGCAGCATATCCGTGGAGATAGCAAGAAGTTGGTCGTGATATTCAGTGCTGGTCAAGACAAGTAGCCGCAAAACAAGCAGACCTTTGTTCTGATTTACACAGGTTGTCAAGTCTTCAAGCACAGTACTGTTGGTATGTTGTTCTAGCCTCTAGTCTTGTTCGCAGTATCATTGCCACTGCGATAGGATTGTTGAGTGCGACGAGTGGTATCGGACTGCTGCTTCCTGTCAACAGTAGCATGGTGATTGTCATTGTTGCCGTCCTTTCCCTTACTCGTGTAAGTCTTGTTCCACTACTACCGTTGAGATGGTTATCGCGAGTGCTGCCACGACCATCTTCAGTTTTTCCACATACGAACGAACTCAAAATGAAAACACTGCTGTTGCTACTCTTTGCTCTAAGAGTATTGTCTGAACTGCAGGTGGGTCGCGAGTGCTTGGGTGGGTTGAGAGCTAATTCTTAGCTCCGTGTGGGGTACCTGCAACCATACTTACACCTACCCGTGAATGCTGGAGTAGATACCTGAGCTGCTCGCAGCGCCTGAGGGCGAGATGAGGGCTCGGGTTCATTCAGCGCTCAAAGCGGGAGGATTTGCTCTAAACCCAAACCCTAAGCCCCAACTCGAAAACCTCAACTTTAAGCCTAAGCCCCAATGTCGAAACGCCCGAAGCCCAAGCCTAAGCCCGGAAAATGGGTCTGGTGTTTGAGACTGCCACGTTGCGGAGCAGACCCTTACCCAAAGCTCAAAGTGATGCCAAGCGCAGAGCTCACAATTTCGGCGAGGGTGTTACTGGTTTAGGCTGTAGGGTTGAGAGTTTTTACATTTTTGTGATTTCCGCACCCGCCTATGCACACTTTTCACACATGGATAGGGCCCCTTTGTAGATCACCCAAATCGTGCAGCACCCTTTTAAACAGATAGAATCCCTTTTCAGGGCGACCCCCAAATCGCACGGCACCCTGATAGAAAGGACCCCGACACGGACCCTAATCCAGAGAACTACTTTAGGATCCGTTGAAGGAAGCCTTGAAAGGGACCCGGACCCGAGTTGTGAGAACTACCTCAGGAACCCTGTAATGAGAACCCCCAAAGGGCCCCGATTTAGAGAACTACACCTTTCCAGGTTCCCGGCTGGTGGCGATCTCCGACCGCAAGATCTGGCTTTGGTCCGTCCGCATAGAGGAGCCTCCGTGAACTGCAGATAGGGGCTTTCGGGTTTGGGTTTTCAGGTTTCAGGGGTAGGGGTTTAGGCTTCTAGGAGTCAGGGTTTTAGGGTTAGGGCTTTAGGAGTAAGAGTCCTTACCGTGAAACAAACAGTTTTAGAGCAACAGGGTCTTGTTTAACGTTGATAGGTTTTAGGGTTTCCATGATAGGTTTTAGGATTTTGAAACGCGGACGACTGGCAGCCTTGGGCTCGTATTTCTCTTTGCAACCTATTCAAAACTGTATTTCTCGAACTTGATAGGGGCCACGAGCGCGAATGCAGACACGCGTAACGCAGATATCGCATCCCCTAAGGAAAATAGCCGGAAAAGGAATCAGGGCAGCACGAGAGTCGTATCACCACGTTTGCACGAAATGCACGAACAAAATAAACATTACATGGATCCCGTGAGTGTACTGCATCGCCGGCATGGCTGATGATACAAGGTCATGTTTGTCATGATGTGTTGTCTCTCATTCCCTTGACGGATTCAGAACGCACGGAACACGCCTCCTGTGCAGTTCCCCCTTGGCTTGACGGATTCAGAACGCAGGCGGGACGCGGGTTCTGTGGAGTTTGTGGAGTTTCTCCTTAGCTTGACGGATTCAGAACGCAGGCGGAACACGCCTCCTGTGGAGTTCTTCCTTAGCTTGACGGATTCAGAACGCAGGCGGGACGCGGGTTCTCTGGGTTCTGTAGAGTTTCGCCTTAGCTTGACGGATTCAGAATTCCGGCAGCGTCCTCCATTGACGGATTCAGAACGCACGGAACACGCCTCCTGTGCAGTTCCCCCTTGGCTTGACAAGCGGCTTGACGGATTCAGAACGCAGGCGGGACACGGGTTCTGTGAAGTCTGTGGAGTTTCTCCTTAGCTTGACGGATTCAGAACGCAGGCGGAACACGCCTCCTGTGGAGTTCCCACTTGGCTTGACGGATTCAGAACGCAGGCGGGACGCGGGTTCTGTGGAGTTTCACACGCCTCCTGTGGAGTTCGCCCGTAGCTTGACGGATTCAGAACGCAGGCGGGACGCGGGTTCTGTGGAGTTGTTCCAGTTTCTCCTTAGCTTGACGGATTAAATTAAAGACGCAGGCGGGACGCGGGTTCTGTGGAGTTTCACACGCCTCCTGTGGAGTTCCTCCTTAGCTTGGCGGATTCAGAACGCAGCCGGGGCGGATTCAGAACGCAGTCGGGACGCGCGTTCTGTGGAGTTTCACCTTAGCTTGGCGGATTCAGAACACAGGCGGGACGCGCATTCTGTGGAGTTTCCCGTTAACAGCGCTGCGCGACACACCTCGCGTCACACGCGGGCGCTTGCGAACGCTTGCCAACGCTTGCCAACGCTTCGCGAACGCTTTAACCACGGTCGCTGGTCACCTGCTGCCCCTGGACCCCAACCTTTTAAACGGGAACCCTTTTGCAGAGCATTCGGGAAGCTTGACGGATTCAGAACGCAGGCGGAACAGGCCTCCTGTGGACGGATTCAGAACGCAGGCGGGACGCGGGTTCTCTGGGTTCTGTGAAGTTTCTCCTTAGCTTGACGGATTCAGAATTCCGGCAGCGTCCTCCCTTGACGGATTCAGAACGCACGGAACACGCCTCCTGTGCAGTTCCCCCTTGGCTTGACAAGCGGCTTGACGGATTCAGAACGCAGGCGGATGCAGAACGCAGTCAGGACGCGCGTTCTGTGGAGTTTCCAGCGCTGCGCGACACACCCCGCGTCACACGCGGGCGCTTCGCGAACGCTTGCGAACGCTTCGCGAACGCTTTAACCACGATCGGTGGTCACCTGCTGGACCCCTGGACCCCAACCTTTTAAACGGGAACCCTTCTGCAGAGCATTCGGGAAAAAACCTATTCGACACAGTATTTCCTAGAATCCTAGAAGCAGCTGTAGAAGTGTACGTGTTGCGTAGCCGGTTCGCCAGTTTGTTTTCAGTTTCCGCTGTATCTTGTGGCCCTGCAGGGCCTCGCGAGATGAGCCTCCTGGCCGAAACGGCCAGTCCGATCTAAATCCTCGCATTTCCGACGTGTGTAAGGCTCGGTGCTCGTGCAGGCTGCACCTAACTGCCGTCTCAACAGCAGCTGGTCTGACCGTAAACCTTGCTCAACCTTTCTCTCAACCTCACTATACCTGCAGGCTACACCCAGTGCCCTGCATACACCCTGCACCTAGCGGCGGCACACGGAGGGCCAACAGCAAGGTTCTGCATAGTGCGGGCAGGGTCTGGAGTCTCGGGCTAAACCACAGGTGCACCTGTCAGTCAGCATCGAGCATTTGCAATATTTGCAAGTAGTGGGAAGTGCTGCAATCAATCGCTCCTGAACGACATCGCCGTCCTTGAAGCCCAGATCGCGCACCGTGTCCTCCAGCGCAGGCAGGGCTCGAGCACGGCAAAACACAGAGGAGCCCTTAAAGGGAGCCTTAAAGGAGCCCTTAAAAGAACCCGTAAAGGAGCCCTTAAAGGAGCCCTTAAAGCTCTCTGAAGGGCCTCATCACCAGGTTGGTGGCCTGATGTTGTCGCTATCGAAATCCGGTTTGCGTCGATGATGTTGACGGCATTTGCGAGGCGTACCTCCAACACTTCGTGGACTCCTTTACCCTCAACTTACACCGATGCGAATTGGTGACCTCATCGATTGATTTGCGCGTCATGAGCGATCTTGGGCCTCTTGCCTTCGCTCGGGCGGGCCACAACATCTGCCCCGAAGGCGATGATCAAAATGGAGGAGGTGTCCTTGCCGAAGAGTCTGTTGAATGCCGCGGAACCAACATCATGGCCGCCATACAGGGGGCTGTCGGACGCTGGCCTCTCCAAGACAGCGTTGATCTCGTTGTCAGGTCGCCGCGTGCTTGTGTATCCTGCAGGGAGACGGAAGCCTACCTGCAACCTGTAATCAATGGGTTCACCCGAGTGAAGCAGGTCGAAGCTTGGGCAAGCAGGCTTACTTGGCAGCAGTCCTCGATGCAAGCGAATATGCGTTGCATTATGAAAGCGAGTTTTGCAATGGGGTGTCGCTTTGCGTAACTCGCACACCTTGTGGCCTGAATCGATGGCGTTGTAAAAAGCTTCCTGCAGGTGTATTTTGCACACTTTTGCTATGGTAAGCGGCTTTGCAGTTTGGTCTCCGTGCTCAGCTGGTCGCTTGGACTCTCGCAGGGCCCGGCGCGGCTGTGCAGCCTGGTCTCTGCGCTCAACTGGTTGTGAAGACTCTGCTCCCCGGGCCACGGGCGGCTGTCTGTGTTCAACTGGTTTCGATGAATCCTCTGCCGAGGCCAATGCCTTCAGGGCCGCAGCGCACCAGTGTCAGGGCTGCCCGCAGATGAGGCGGGTGATGCGCTTGGCATGCCGTGCCAAGAGGTCGCAGTCCCCCATGAGCTGGGCCATGAGGCTCTCAGTGCCGCATTGCAGTGCCAACACATCTGAGTTGCTCAGCTTGGTTGGGACTTGCAGCCACTGTCCATCCTTCTGCAGTTCCGCGAGAACCTCTTCGAAGGTGTCTTTCGCTAACTTCGCGAAGGGACCCTTGCTGCAGTAGAAGGCAACATCTTCTGTCTCATCCGCTGCCTCACGCATGCGCTTCCGCACGAGATCCCGGGCATAGTTGCTGCCTGCATTGCCTCTGCGTGCACCACGTGGAGCAGCACCTTCACCTCCTTCCAACAAGTTACCTCTCAGCTTTGCCAGCCCAATGTGGGACATTTCGCAAGCCTTGCCGCAGCACTGCACCGGCGCTGGACAAATTGTGGTCGGGAGGCATGGTCTCGTTAGTGACCTTTGTTGCCTGCAGGGCAACAGGTGGTGCTCTCTTCTTACAGCAGCAACCCTAAGCCTAAACCCTCAACCCTAAATCCTGAACCCCCTCGGTCTGGGCGGGAAGGGCGGAGCCCACGACCTACTTTTACCTCAGAGGCAGGTGGGGGGCCTGTGCGGAAAGGGCGGAGCCCACAACTCTACTTTGCTTCCAGAGACAGGTGGGGGGCCTGTGCAGAAAGGGCGGAGCCCAAAACTGCACATACGATACTCGGTACAGACCAGCACTCGCATACATGCGATGCTCGGTCAGATTGCTATTCTCCCTCTCCCTTTCCGCCGCTGATATCTGTATTGTAACCAACCACAGAAAAAACGCACTTCCGCTTTTTGGCGTTCCCGTCTCCCCTCCAACAAGCCCCGCGCGAAACGCGGAAGAATTGGGACCCCCTCCACCAGAGCCCGTGTTGTCTCCCCTCCCACAAGCCCAGGTTGCGGATTCTTTTGGCGTTTCCCATCCCATCCCGCGCGAAACGCGGAAGAATTGGGACCCTCCACCAGAGCCCGTGTTGCCACAAGCCCAAATTGCGGATTCCTCCGCTTTTTGGCGTTTCCCACCCCATTCCCGCCCAAAAGGCGCAAGAATTGGGACCCCCTCCACCAGAGCCCGTGTTGTCTCCCCTCCCACAAGCCCAGGTTGCAGATTCTTCCGCTTTTTGGCGTTTCCCACCTCATTCCCGCCCAAAAGGCGCAAGAATTGGGACCCCTCTCTATCATGCATTGCTGCGCAATTCTTATCGTGGTTAAACGGTTCCTTGGTTAAAAAGAACAGGGACAATTCATGGTTACGACACCGCCTCGGGCTTTAGGTTCTGGGGTTTACGATTCAGGGTTTGGACTCTGGCATGATCGTGTTTACTCTTGACTGTTGTCTATCCTTACTGCAACTATTTTTGCCATGAGAAGGTGACGATGATCGTGACTTTGACTATGAGTATGACCATGACATCAAGCGCTAGTGCTAGTACTAGTGCCAGTACTATTTCCATTAGTATTAATAGCTCTTGATATTGAACTTTCTTGGTCTTACCCTAAACCCGAAACCCTAGCCGCTAAACATGAAGGGCAAGAATCGCAGTGTAGACTATAGCTCATATGTCTGCAGGGTTTAGGGCTTGGCTGCCAAATATTTCAGAGCCGTATACCGGTTGGGTATCCGTTTCCTAAAGCAAAGCCCGAAGCCCTAAAACCTTTAAACCTTTGAACATGTTTCACACGCTGGAGAGCGTTTCCAAGTTGGAGAACCACTCTGCAAACCTCTGGTGAAACCCGTACCTAGACTCTACAATAGATGCGAAGCCGCTAAGCTCCAAGACCTAAGACTTGAACCCATAGACCCCGTAAGCCCGAGTCGCAACCTTAATCGTAACCCTGACCAGGAAAAATCCTGCTAGTTAGGCTTACGGTAAGGCTAAAATCGAAAACTTTGTACGAACCCCTAAACGGAACCCTTTCAAGGAACCCTAAACCCCAAAACCGCGGAAGGAGACGTGGCCGGCAGTAGTGAAGTTCCTGGGTGCAGTTGCGCTGCAGCAGGCGGTCAGGATTCAAGATGACTCATATAATAAACGGTTCCTCAAAGGGTTTGTTTCTACAGGGGTTCCGTCAAGGGTTCTATAAGGGTTCCTGAAAGGGTTTGTAAAAGGGTTTCTAGAAGGATTTCTATAAGGCTAACCATAATGGGTTTATAAGGGCATAACATAGAAGCCTTAATAGTCAGGGGGGGCCTTTAAGGGATTTTCTCGGGTTCTTGTATATTTCTGTAATTACAGAGGGCTGAGGTACAGAAACTTTAATCATTAGTATTAGTATTCCCGAGGGTTCCTGATCAGGGCTTTGTGAGAGTTTCAGGGTGCAGAGGTATAGAGTTCAGGGCGTTAGGGTGACAGGGTTCGTTGGATTAGGGTGTCAGGGTGTTAAGCTCCAGACCCTTGTCGTTGTGGTCTTTCCTTTGATGATGTGCTTGTGAGCCCCAGTTGACGGCAGACCCAGCATTCCTAGAGTTCATCGCACTTACACCAACCCTATACCCAAACCCCAACCCCAAACCCTGAACCGAGAGCCCTAAACCCAAACCTAAATCCTCCACTCCTAAGCGGTGGACTTGAAGCCGCAGCTGCACTGTCCTGTGAGGCCTTCACCAGTCGCGCCGCGGCCTTGGAAACTGTGAATTGCAGTACTGGGGTTCTTTTAGAAAGCTGTATAATAGGGCTTTTAAACGGTTAGGGTGAAGGGATTCGCTGTTGCATGGAAGGTTCATGCATGCAAGATTGCAGTTTGAGATCTGCAGCTGATGTCCTGGACATCGCGTTCCTCAGTGTCACAACTCAGGTGTGCACTTGCAATCCAGGAACAGCACGTAACTAGTTTCCACAGCTACAGCAATCAGTACAAGTTGCGCGAATCCCTGAAGTTTCCCTATTTGTTGGCCATATCCCATATTCCCCTCGTTCCTTAAGCTCCCTGGCTTCCAACTCCACAGCTGGGCAAGCCCGGTGTGTGTCCTTAGGCTTGGTTTTGAGGCCCAAACCACTTGCAAGGGCCTGGCCACTTTGACTAAACAGGGTGCAACAATGTGATGCGGCTGATGGCATAAATCCTGCATTGCCCATAATAGAGAATATACCACTCTTCGCATCGAAAGGTAATGCAGGGTTTTTGTCCCTAAATCCTAGACCCCACAAGCTTAAAACCCGTACTCCCCAAGCCCTAAGCTGGCAACCCTGATTCCCGAAAGCCCTAAACCCTAAAGCCTGGGTCTCCTGGCCTGATGGCCTTAGTGCTTGCCGACTGGCTAAAAAAAGCTTAAACCCCAAAGCCTAAACCCTGAACCCTAAGCCCTGAACCCTAAACCCTAAACCCTGCGAACCCTACCTGAGGTCGTCACCCTCCGTGTCGCCTGCGACACGGTGGTGGCGGCCTCCGAGAAGGAGGCGGTAGTTGGCCGAACGACGGGGTTTGGGGGTTTAGGGTGTAGGATTTCCTTTGCGTTGGTTCAGGGTTTCGGGTGTGTTGGGGCGAATTCCCCTGCTCAAGTCGCTGATGAACTTAATCTTGGCACTTCCATGAGAGGGGAGGGTAAAGAGGTTTGAATATGAAGAAGAAAAGGAGGAGAAATAGTGCTGCTGGTGGTGGTGGTGGTGGTGGTGGTTGCAGGACGTAGTAGCAGCAGCAGAAATAGCAGTATGATGAATACGCATGACTAGTTACCGAAATATTCTGATAATTGCCACGTGCTTAAGGCACACCCGAGCCAAAGGTCACCAGCAAGAGCCTTCCCTACGTTTGTCTAAAAGAAACCCTGAACCCTAAACTCCCAACCCTAAACCCTAAGCCGATGTTTTCCTCCCAGACAGGTTGCCGTCGTCGTGCTGACTCCAGGGCCCCGCACTTGGTGGCGTACTTAAAGAGTCATGGGGCTTAGAAACTAGAGTTACGAATAAGGTAACTATACTTATAACCCCAATTCAAGTACATAGAACCCCTTACTTACTAAGTCTCATGATCCTCCAAGTATCGTCGCAAGGGATCTCTTGTGGGATTCTGTAAGGTTTCTAAGAAACGGAGTCCTTATAAGGTGTACTGTTAGGGCTGCAGAGTTGTAGGGTTTAAGCTAAAGGTTTAAGGTTCGTATTGCTTCAGATGCATCATTCGAGTCTCAAGTTTGGGGTTCACGGGGTTTAGGGTCGGGTCGAGGGCCTTGGGTTTTGGGCTTGCGGTTTACGTTCTAGGCCTCAGCAGATGGACTCCTAAAATCCAAACGAACCTGAAACTCACGAATATCGTACTGAGGGGTTCCTTATTTTATTTAGTGTATAATGAATGAAAATATATACCGCCAAAACCATTAACGCCCCTATATTAGTCTTCCTTGAAAGACCGACTGAACATGAAGCCACGGGCAGAAAACTTTCCGAGCAGCCTGCAAAGCTCCTGCCAAGAGCCTAAGCCCTAATATTGAAGACTAAGTAATTTGAAACGCTTCGCGTCGCCCACCTCGGCTCGGCTGCACACGTATGCGCCGAATTACAGACCTTGGGCTTGCGGCGCGTCGACGGCTGCTGCTCTCAGCCAGTGCAGTTGGGACGGGAAGCAGGGAAGGAAGTAAAGTGGAAAGCAAGCAACAAGGTCCGAACAAATAAGCTGGAATCGCGGAAAAGGCAGGGAAAGCGGGTGTAGGGGGGGGGGGGCGGAGGGGGGGGCTCACAAACATAATTCCTTTGTCCAAGACTTAACCCTGAATCATTAAAGGCCCACACTTTCAGGGACCCCAAACCTCTAAATTCTAGGGGCTGCGCCCAGGTGCGGGCAGCGCGAGTTGTTGTCAGCGGATGTAGCGGGGGAACGGAAAGGCACGGTCAAAATTTCCGGACGCTGCCGAGACAACGACAGCTCGACACCGGAAAAAAAGTGCGACGTAGGCCCGAAGTGCACAACTTATGGGTGATCTCAGGCTCTCAGCCCTCGTCGGCCCTCCATGTAGCCCGCATCCGCCCTCCGCCGGACCCCGCTGATGCTGACGATGCGCGCCCTTTTGGGGCTTCCGCAACCCACGCAAAAACTTGGAAATCATCACTTCGCGCCCACTTCGCGCCGCGGGGCCGGTTGCGGGCGCCCGAGTGCTCATGATGCTCGCCGGCTCGCCTCCTGGGGTCGTCCACGGCGGCCCCGAAACCCGCCATGCCGTGAGGAATGGCTGCGAAGCGCGTGCGCGTTCCGAGACGCCTCCGGGCCAGGGCCCGCGCGGCCCGATGGAGAAACGAAGGTCCGATGATGCGGGGTCGGCGGCGGGTCGGCGGCACAACCCGTCGTGGCTTTTGCTTCGCAAGACAAGCCCATTCGTCTGAGCCATAGCTCAGTCCATACAGGGCAGCGAAGCGCTGCCCGATTTAGGGGCTGCGCCCAGGTGCGGGCAGCGCGAGCTGTTGTCAGAAACCCGCGGTATATAGATAAGTGCAACGTAGGCCCGAAGTGCGCAACTTGTGGGTGATCGTAGGCTCTCAGCCCCCGTCGGCCCTGCATGTAGCCCGCACCCCCCGTCCGCCGGACCCCGCTGATGCTCATGATGCGCGCCCTTTGGCGGCTTCCGCAACCCACTCAAAAACTTGGGAGTTATGACTTCGCGCCCACGTCGCGCCGCCGGCGCCGGTTGCGGGCGCCCGAGGGCTCATGATGCTCGCCGGCTCGCCTCCTGGGGTCGTCCACGGCGGCCCCGAAACCCGCCACACCGCGGGGAATGGCTGCAAAATGCGTGCGCGTTCCGAGACGCCTTCGGGCCAGGCCCCGCGCGGCCCGAGGGAGAAACGAGGGTCCGATGATGCGGGGTCCGGGGCGGGTCGGCGGCACTGTCGGTCGTGGCTTCTGCTTCGCAGACGAAGCTCATTCGTCTGAGCCATAGCTCAGCCATACAGGGCAGCGAAGCGCTGCCCGATTTAAGGTCCTCCGGCTCAAGCCGCCGACCCCGTGGGCGACAGACCAGAAGCCGAATGCACTTGTACAGGCAAAGTCGTTTGGTGTCCGCAAGGCCCGTAGGTTTAGTTCTAGAAGGAGACGCCAAGATGGGAAGTGCAAACAAAGCCTTACCGCAGGACCTAAACCCGAAACCTAAACCGTCCTGAAACCCTATGTTCAACACCTTTAGAACCGTTTAGGGTTCGGGTTTCAGGAACATCTTCTCAGTGGCTGGGGGGGGGAAAGGGGGCGGAAGGGGGAGGGGGGGGAGGGGGGGAGGCGCGCAGGGGGCAGGGCGAGGGGGGAGGGGGAGGGGGGAGGGGAAGGGGGGAGAGGGGGAGAGGGGGAGGAGGGGAGGGGGGAGGGGCGGCAGGGGGGACGGGGGGAGGGGGGGAGGGGGGGAGGGGAGTAAGGGATGTTAACACCTCCAAGCCCATCGAAACCCATCCAACACGCCGCCAGGGTCGGCGGACCCCTAAACCCTAAACCCTTAAACCCTAAACCCCTAAAACCTAAAGCCCTAAACCCCTAAAACCTAAAGCCCTAAACCAAACCCCCAGGGTGGAGCATCAGCAGATGATTTCCTTCTCCGGGACGATCAGGCCGGGTGTGCCTCAAGCCCCGAAGTAGACTCCTGACTCGTACACCCCGTTCATTTTCATCGGATTACAATAAGTGTTGGAGGCCCATGAGCAGGTTATAAGCGGTGTTCTAATTGGAGTGACTGCATTTATGCTACCTCTCACTCTGTTTATAGAACCCACTTACTAGTCACCTGGGCGTCCAAGTAGGTATCCCTACATTAGGGTTTTTAAGGAAACGGAATTGATTAATCCGGGGTCCACATGAAACCTACTAAATGCCTGAGTCTACAGGCCTCATTTGCCCTGAGCCCGTGCCCCAAACGTTAAGCCGTTGCCCGGTGCTATATGGGTATGTAACACGTGCCTGTATCTGGTCGTCCAAGACCGGAAGCTGTTTCTGCAGACGGGTTGTCACGGTTATGTGGTCACAACTCTCATGGTCTGATCCAGACGTTAATGACGGCGTGGCCAAACGAACCAATACTTCAGTCTGTCAGCCCAATGCCCCAAAGCCGCAAATCCCTGTGATCCATCTCAGCCCAAGCCCCTAACCCGAATCCAACACTCCAAATCAAAACAAACCACAAACGCCGAAGCCTCGAAAAATACCGAAGCCCCGAAACCGAATCCAAAACTTTAACCCTAAGCCCGAAACGTTAAATCCTACACCCTAAACCCTAATGCCTAATCCACATGACCAGAACCAAAGCCTGAAAGTTTTGGTTTTGTGTCTCTCTATAAGGACTACCCCAAACACCTCAACCTGTATTACATGTATACACATAAAGACACGTCTGCATCCCCTTCCCCTGAGTCTCTTCATCCTCCATCCTCGGAACTCACTTCGGCTAAAGTCCTAACCGTCTAACCCCGAAACCGAGAATATTCTGCCGCTCCTCAACACCTAAACTCCGAAACCCTTAACACCTAAACCCTCACCCCTAAACCCTAAACCTTAAGCCTGAAATCGGAACCGTAAACTTGCCTTAAGCCCTACAGCCTTAAACTGCCGTGAACTAGCTTTTAAAAGCTAGCCCTTAAACCTCCAACCCTAAATCTCAAACCGAAACTGGCCAAAGTCTGCCTCTTCTCCCCGGCCAGTGCCGACGCCTTTCCCCTGAGCACCGGGTCCAAAGCCCTGGCACGCTCCCTGAGAGCTTGGGTTTAGGGTTTAAGGGTTTAGGATGGTTTAAGATGGTTTAGAGTTTACAGTTGGGGTTCAGGGTTTAAGTGTTTTGTCAGCAGTTGGGATTCCTTTAAGGGTTTAGGGCTTAGGCTTTACGGCTTGGGGTTTAGGGCCTCTGGGTTCAGGTTTGGGGCTTTGGGTTTAGGTTTTAGGGCTTTGGGTTTAGGGTAGGGTGAAAGTTTCAGAACATAAGGGGCTCTACAAAAGAATCCATGCAGACAAAACACAGGTTACTAGAGATACCTAGATGAAACTTTCAGAACATAAAGGCCTCTACTCAAAACCTAAAGGACAGGGTCTGTATTTAGACGATAAGGAAATAGATGGGAGCTTCAGAACGTAAGTATAAGGGACTCGACTATAGAATCGAATCATTAGGAAAGATGCCTCGATCAACAAGGGACCCGAATATCAAGCCTCAAGAATCGGATCCGTATTACACAAATAGATGGGGGTTTGAGAACATAAGGGATGCCACCAATATAGAACCTCAACACTTATCGCATGAGATTTCCCGGCAATAAAATATTGAAACCACCGAACCTAGAACCAGATATCTAGGTGAGAGTTTCAGAAAACCAGGGACTCCAATATAGGACCTAAGTGGTAGGATCCATCGTCAAGGAAACCACCCCACAGATGTTATTCCTCCTTTCACCACTCGCCGTGCCATTCTACGGATTGACTAAGGTTCTGACCAGTGTTGTAAATGAACGCAGGATAAAGTCTTTCGGGGCGTTGGATTGGTTGGGGTTGAAAGCTACAGATCAAATTGCTTCAATCTCTCTCATCCCCTCTCCTCACCCGGGCCTCATGGTCAGAACCCAGAAAGCACCCCCTGATCCCTTGAAGCCCCAAAACCCGAAAGCCCCACACCAATTAACCCACTCAAACCTAAAACACAATAGGTGCCGAAAGCCCAAAGCTGAAAACTCAACGCCCCAAGCCTTAAGCCCCAAACCCCTAGGGTCCAAACTTCCCATGAAACTTCAGATGTATCTGCATAGTCATGAAATGTCCTTCTTATGGTTGTATACGCGCCCATGAAGCAGCGTTTTGATAGCGATTTTGCGATGTACAAACTCCGAGGCCGATCTTTCAGGCACCTACCAAAAGAGTTTTGGAAAATTGAAAGCGGGGTGTGGGGTATGCGAAAGGCTTATTCCTTCAAAGAGCCCCAACAGCCCGTAAGAGCAGCTTGCGATACCTACATGGGACGTCCACGGCAAGGAGGAAACCTATGCTTTTATTGTCTTAAATGGTGAAGGCTGATGTTTTAAGATTTAGGGTCGGGCTAGGATATGAGGTTAAGGGTTTAGGGCTTGGGGTTTAGGGTTGAGGGTTCTTGGTTGAACGCTGCGCCCGAGCCACGCACCCTCAACTCTGGACTCCCAATACCAGCCCAAATCCGAAGCCCGAAAGAAACCCTACCTTAAATCTCACATTTGTAGGGCTCCTTGCTAAGATTTCCTTCTATAGTTCCTGACAAAGGGTAGGTTTTGGGGGGCTGAAGGTGTGATGCAGTCCTGTCTTGTCGTCCAGATAGCAACCCTTTGTCAACCTGTTAAGCCCAACCCTAATCCCTGAGCCCTAAACCGGAAACCCTGAACCCTACACTCTCCCAACCTCAAACACCAGACCCTAAACCCTAAACCCCTAAACCCCAATCCCTAGCTAAACCCTGCGAACCGAGTAAATTGGTGACTAAGGCCATCCTTGCCAGAAGCGGTGAAGAAGAGGCGCAGGACGGGGCCTCGCCAGAGCTCTGCGTGAAGTGGTTGGTTGGTTGGTTTATAGAAATTGTTAAGGGTTTGGGTCCCAAAAACGTTTTGAACGAAACTTTTTGACCGAAACGTTTTGAACTAAAGTTTTTTTGGCGAACCATGTTTTCAAATTTGTTGGGGGGCTGGGGCTCTTGGGTGCCAAAAACGTTTTGAGCAAAACGGTTCGAGCGAAACGTTTTGAACGAAACGTTTTGGACGTTGACCGAAAATTCTTTGGGTCCCAAAAACGTTTTGAACGAAACGTTTTGACCGAAACGTTTTCTCATTGAAACCACATTTTGAATTTGCTGGGCTGGGCTGCTTAGGCTGGGCTGGGCCTGAGCCGGGCTGGGTGGGGGCCTGGTTGGCTAGGCTGGGCTGGGCTGGATTGGGTCGGGCTGCTTGGGCTGGGCTGGCTGGTGGGCTGGGGCCTGGGGCGCGGGGCTGGGAGCTGGTCTGGGTTGCCTGGGTTGAAGGTTGTAAAGAATTTGGTTTATCAAGAAGCTTGTTCCGTTTTTGAGCTCCAGCTCAATGTTGGCCGGGCCGTACCGGCGGTTACAAGTTTGTAGAGAAATTGGTTTATCAAGAAGCTTGTTCAGTCATTAACCTGTGTGTTGGGCCGTAGCGGTGGTTGCAAACAAGGACAAGCAATTTCTATTTATCACTTTCTTCAGGGTTTAGGGTTTGGGGTTTAAGAAATAGGGTCTAGGTTTTGGGCCTGGGCCCTAAAGAACCTACGTTTTCAGAGTTCCTTATTATGATTTCTTTGTATGAATCCTTAGAAGGTACGTTATATGGTGGAGTTAAGGCAGGGCTTAGGGCTCCCGGGCTTTGGGTTCGGAGTGTTGGGTTTGGGGTTAGATGGCCGAAGTTGTTGCCTATACTCTTTTGTGGGCTCTGTATCAAAAATCTATCCCGAAACCATGTTCCAGCTATTGAGGCCCCATATTATGTAGGCTTTGGGGTTAGAGGGTGAAGCGAAGGCTCCTCACTCCCAAATGCCTCAGAAACCCTTACCCTAAACCATGAAACCGTAGAAATCTGAACTCCTTTCGTCTAGGTTCCTGAATCGTACCCTTTTGCACTGTTTCTGGGTTCCCGTATTTAAACCGAATAGCAGGAAAAGGGTACTCTTGTTATTATGGGGCTGCTGAGGAACTCTGGTCTTGGCTGGGATGCAGAAGTTGCAAGAGTTGTAGCTTGCACAGAGCAGGAAAGCCCACTAATGTCACTAAAGCCAATGAGAGTTGAGCCTAGAGGATCCCCTAGATCAAGGAGGATTCCCTTCAGCTTTCGCCCGTGAAAGATCGGGCGCCGTAAAAGCACGATGGCTCCTTCCCTTCCCGTCTAACAGAGGGGCCCCAACACCTACCAAAACTCTTTGGGTTCCTTGTTATAGTTATCGTGTAAGGCCCCTATAGTACTCTCAGCCTTGATCCGATCAGGTGGAAGCTTTACTCCAAGGCAATCTGGAGAGCGGCGCAGAGGCAGTGGAGGGATCTTCAGTGAGATCCCTGCTCTTAGGGCCTGAGGGTACAGGGCTTAGGGTTTAGGGTTGAGGGTGTAGGGTTTAGGGGGTAGGGTTTACGGTTTAGGGCGGCCCTTCAAGGGTCTTCGGCTTGTGTACACACAGCTAACCCTGACGGACACCACCCTCTAGACTTAATAGGAAACCGATGCATTTTGGGAGTCTCAGACCATCCAGAGACCCCAAGTTGTGAGGAACCCCCAAATCATGTTAACGAACCATCGGTCGCAGACTCAGTGTGAAACATCGCAGCGACAAGTTCTTTCCACCCTTTCTAGGGACCCGAGCTTAGCAGCCTCTGTGGCACACTTATAGTATAACCAATCTAGTGACCTTCACATAGAAGCCTATAGTCAAAACCTTCCAGTAATCCTTATTGACACTCTGATGGTACATCATGGAACAAACCCTCACAGGTCTCATTCCTAAACCTACACCCTAAGCCCCAAACCGTAAACCCCAAACCCTAAAACCTAAAGAAAGAGCGCTTAAGAAGACTCTCCGGGGCTCCGCAGGGCCTGCGCAAGCTCTCAGTGGTTTGCCTCACACAGGCGACTCGGGTAGGAGTTGGTTCGGGTTAAAAAGTGTTCTAGGGTTTAGGGTCGAGGGTTTTACGGGTTTTTGGGTTTAGGAGTGTTCTGTAAGGGATTCTTGAAGAAAGAGTTTTGTAGCTTTGCTTTTGGAATGAATAGGCGCTTTATATCTTTTGCTCTGCGGGCATCTGAGGGCACCGCTTCGAATTTGCGGTGTAAGGACTCAGGTTTGGGCCCCTGGTTTTCGGGTAGTTCGTTGCGGTTTAGGTTCCTGGTTCGGGTATAGGGTTTCTGGCTTAATATAAGGAGGTTGGGGTGTTTTGGTGGATAATCCAACACCCTGTGGCCAGTATAAATGAAGTTTCAAGCCTTCCAACATACATCCACCCGAAGATTTGCAAATCCCATCGTGACTTCTTGCACAGGAGTCTGACAGCACCAAGCCGGAAGCCCTAAAACTGACCTTGAAGCCCCGCCCCACCAGTGACTACCCTAAACCCCAAACCCAAAACAGTTGCTCCTTGTCCCCAAGACATAAACAGACCGATGGCCCAAGCATCGGCGTGGTTCTGGACGGCCGCAGCCTCAATGTGTGCTTATTTGTACCTCGGTTTTTGTGCTGAGCTCCTTGGGTTTCGGTGGTTTCAGCGCATCAGGGAGTGAGATCCTAAGCGCCCTGCGAGCACCAAACATCCTAAACTGCAGCCATAAGCCTTGTGCCCTAAACCACCAAATCCCTACACCCCAAACTGCCCTAAGTCCTTAAGCCCTTCGATCCTATGCCCTAAACCACCAAAACCCTATGCCCCATTATCAAGGCCGCAGTGTATCATAGAAACCCAATAAACTTGCCTTCGGGAATTTTTTGAACCCTTAACGGACAAAACCCTACTCGAATAATTAAGGCCCCTCTATTACCCCACACTGCCCCTAAACCCTAAACCCTTAACCCTATAAACCCTTAACCCTAAACCCTAAAACCCTAAACCCTGAACCGTGAAGGCTTGCATTTGCCCCTGCCGGTGCCATGTCAGCAGCAGGACCGGATGAGGGTCCCGCCTTGCTCAGGGCTGAGGCGTTTTGTCGGATCCCTACTAAGACCTGCAGGGGACTTAGCAAGTAGGTTATAAGTAGAGTTATAAGTACCCTAAATTGAGTTACCCCAATTCTAACCCTAAGTACTTACAACCTCCTTACTAAGTCCCCTGGGCCTTCAAGGAAGGTTCGGCTTTAGGGTTCAGAGTTTAGAGTTTGCGGGCCCTTTGTTGAGGGCTGAAGTTCGTTTAGGACCCTAAAGGTTAGGATGCTGAATGTTCTGGGTTTTCTGAGCTATTCGTAGCATTCTCAGAGTCCCAGAAGTACTTCTAGTTCTTGGGTTCTAAGAGTTCACGGTTTAGGGTTTATAGTGTTTAGGCTTTAGGGTTTGGGGTTTAGGGTTTGGGGCTTGGGTTTTTGCATTTCGCTGCATACGCTGCTAGAACTGTGATTGCCTCGCATCGACTATGACCGCATCTGCGAGCGCGAGGAAAACGAGCTGCACCATGCCCCTAAACCCTAAACCCTATACGGACAACGAGGGGAGGTTTCTGCGATTTATGAATGCTTCAGTCAGACCTTCGTAGAATCGTTCAGTCAGACCTTCATATCACATATAGTGAACCCCAGAAAGTTGGAACATGGATAGGATGATTCCCAAACCCTTATGCCCAGTGAAACACCGAGACCTAAGTCCCAAACCCTTGACCCCCGTATCCCTGAACCCAGGACACTCCGCCCACGGCCAAGGCACCGGTGGTACGGGTCTATTAAGGGGGCGGGGGCAGAGTTCCTTTTGGTGTTCTTCAGGCTCTTCAGGCTTGTTATTGAATTACTGGACATGCTGGCTGGCAGGCACCGAATCGCCTCACCGGCGAGTCAGAAGAAAATCGTAGTGTCCCAGTGCCCTGTTTGATGTGGGCACGTCGTGATGATAGTCTTCGGGCATAGTGTGTTACGGTATAGTTTGAAGGATGGTGCATAAGACATAAGGTTTAGGGTCAAAGACCCTAGCGGCTAAGCCCTAGACCCACTAAACCCGTGAAGGGTGGAAGGAAGACAGAGGTGAGGGGTGAATCTTCATGATTTGGGATCCTGAGCCGTAAAGCAAAACCCCCCAAATGCTGAACCCTGAATAACCCTACACCCAGAACCCTCCATCCTCCAGCGTCACGCAGAGCACGTTGTTCAAGGCGAGAAACTTGAATAGGCGAGGCGGGCATTTCGTGATCCAATCAAAACGACACGTGATTGCTGAGACCCTGAAATCTCTAAACCCTAAACCCTAAACCCTAAACCCTAAACCCTAAACCCCTAAACCCTAAACCCTAAACCCTCAACGCCTGAACCGTGTGCCTGAAGGAAGCTTTGAGGGCCGAGCTCGCCAGAAACTCAGACGTCCCTCGGGTTTTTAAAACCACATCCCTTCTCAATTGCAGGAATCCCTGCAGGTTGTTTGCGCAGGGTTTAAGGGCCGGGGCTTCCGGGTGTCATGGTCAGAAGATTTCGGGCTTTGGTTGTAGGGTTGCAGTTTGAGAGTTTGGGAGCCAGGGTTTAGGTTTTAGGGGTAGGTACTGTAGGCTCTAAGGTGCTTTATTGCGGGAACCTTGTTGCGGGATGGGGACCTTGAAGTTTGCCGAGAGATGATCCTGCACACGACACTCCTAGGCCCTCCGCATTTACTGCCTGCAGAATCTAAGATCTTGGGTCAGAGGATTCCGAGCTTCTTACAGACGGTTCTCGGCCGGTTCCAAGAGTGCATGGGCTCTTCAATGCCATTTTCGACTGCTAAACTAAAGCTTCCCGCAAGGTCATGAGCAACACCCTACTACAACTAGCCGTGGCAGGCACCAGATACTTAAGAGTTTGGGATTAAAAGGTCCTACTTCAGAGTTTCAGTCTTCTGCGTTTTGGTTTAGATGCTTTGGAGATATGGGGTGCACGCGGTTACGATTCAATCTTTTAGGAGCGGGATTGGACACCCCGAATCACCTCGCAAAGGGGATTGTGTGGTTGGAACTTTGGTAATTTACAAGCTTCGGGGCTTGTAGGTTTCACAGATTTGTGCGTTTGGAGCGTGGTGTTTCGAAGAGCATGGTGCACCACAAAGCTTGATTGCAACTCAAAAACGACAACCGGAAGCTCCAGTCGTGATCCTCACATAACCCCTATACCCCAATGCTGAAGCCCATATTACCCCCAAGCCGCAAACCCGAGGAGGAGGAGAAGGAGGAGGAGGAGGAAGAGCAGGACTACCGTCATAACATTTGTGATCGTATGCACAAAGATGTAGCAATAGCTCTGACCAAAACACAGTAAAGTAGCCTGCAATCATACTCAGAATTTTCGGACTGGCAATGTCGTTGTGGAGCGTCACAAGACGAAGACAGGCCGTTCGTTCAGCACCTTCGCAGAAATCATGGCCACATGAAGAACCATCAATAGCGGTCGACCTAGCAGCGAGATGAGAATGAGTGTTTCAAGAAGCTCAGAATCAACAGCCTTCGCGGTTGTCTCATTCTAGACCCTAATCCTTGAGCTTAGAATCCTAAGCCCCAAATGCCAAGTCCGAAACAAAAAACTCGCTAAAACTAAACCTTAAACCCTACAGCAGATGTTAGAAGTTTGGACCTCGAACTTTAAGTTTCGGGCTTACCTGTAGCCCAATGTGAAGCCTATTTTTAAGGAACTATACAAGGAAGTCACAACAAGGAGTTCTAAGACAGAATGTTGTCTAGGCTTTTCAACCCCGCTCCGTTCTATCATTGCCAACCCTACATTTTCCGAACTTCCTACGAAACTCTAAGGCAAAAACCGATGTAGGGTGTAGTGTAATCGCGAAAATCCTAAATGCGGTGTGTTTGGAATTAACATCCTGGCCCCTAAGCCCTAAAACCGTCCGGCCTTGGGGGCCTTGCAACAAGGATTCTGCTGTTCAGGTTTCTGAATGAGAGCTCATTTTAGGGCTTAAGGAGTTAATTCTCGTCATTGTTGGATTTTTTTGCCCAGCCCCTAAACCCTAAGATTCGCAGGGTACAGCGGCCGAGCAGTCGGCTCTGGCGCCTAGGCCCGGCGGTAGCCAGGCCTGGCCTAGGGTTTAGGGTTTAGTTGTGTTTTTTGAGGAGGGGGGGGGGGCGATTTTTGGGTGCGTATAGGCATAGATCTCACAGGCTTTAGATAAGTATGAATACGGGTTTATAGGGACTTATAGTGCAGGGTTTGGGTGTAGAGGTTATGTGGTCAGGTTGCTGGTATGCTTTTTATCTGTGTTTCTGGCTTCGGGTTTGCAGGGCTTCCGGGTCAGAATTAGGGTTCGCATGTTTTGAGATGTTCGTTTGGTTTTCTTGGTTTTGGGTTTAGGGTTTGTGGTAGTGGTGAGGGCTGTATAAAATTAGTGTTGTTTTTGTTGCCTTCCGTGTGATTCTGTTGTGTTTTAACGGGATTTGTAGGTGTTGTGTTTAGGATTGCACGTTCGATGGTTAAAACCAACATGTATTTGACATTGGTAATGCATTGTGACAGCAGAAGCTGCAACAGCATGCGGCGGGGAGGGGAGTGCGGAGCACGAGGGAGCGAGGAGGCAGCAGGAGGAGGAGTAGCACTACCGTCAGAATAGTAATAGCTCTGACCAAAACACAGTCAGCAAAGTAGCTAGCAGTCATATTCAGAATCTTCGGACTGGCAATGTCGCTGCGGAGTGCCACAAGGCAAATAATACAGGTTGTCCGTTCAGTACCTGCGCAGAAAACATGGAACAATCAATACGGGTAGACCCAGCAGCGAGATGAGAGAGAGTTTTTCAAAAGCTCAGAATCAAGAGCCTCTGCGCTTTTGTGTTATTCCTTGAGCATAGAATCCCAAGGCCTAAATGCCAAGCCCGAAAATTAAACTCACTAAACTAAGCTCTAAATCCTAAAGCGGATGTTGTGGTCGAGGAAATTTGGAACTCGAACTTTCAGTTTCAACCTTGCCTGTAGCCAGATGTGTAGCTTAGCTTGTTAGG